AAAGTGATGGCTTTGACATCACTAAAATTTGGTTATTTAGTGAATACACCCTGGGTATTTTCATAGGGCAATTTTTGGTGTCCCCAGATTGTTAGATGCTCATTATGCAGTGCTCATGAGCCCTTTAAATGGAGCGGTGTAAGCATGGTTAAATCCCTGCTCACACTTGGAGACCTACAGCTATTTAAATGCCTATTGCTGAAATGCTGTGAGCTGGGTTTATGCCCGGCTCACACCAGGGAGTCCCAGGTATAAACTGATAGCTAGTGCCACATTTAGCGGCTCCAGGCTGACTGATGAGCTGTATGCAGCGCTCAAAGTGAGCACTACATACAGTCATTTCAATCTATTTAAAACTCCTGTATTATTAATGCTTTTGTATTCCTGTACCCAAGTTTATAGGTTCCTCCCTCTGCTCAGCATAAAAAGGGTTAAAAATCCTTTTCACTTACCCTTTTTGAGCTCCAAAGGCAATCTGGGTGCTACTTACCTCTCCTCCCTTTGTGATGTCACGGAGGAGGCATAGCCTCCAATGCCTATGCCCAATCCAATGATCCTCACAGAGGTGCATTGGAGACCCGATGCACATGCGGCATTGAATCAGTACTTTCCAATGGTGGCTGCAGTAACGTGGCCAAGTTTAACACCGTCAGTGGAGTAGAAGCATATTGCAGCGTTAAACATACAGGACCATGCAGTGGCGTACTAAGGTGGGGTGGTTCACCCCGGGTGCCACTCACTAGGGGGGTGCCCGGGGCAGACTGTGTCTGCCCCGACACCAGGAGGGAGCCCGGCGGCTTGCTCGATATGCCTCTGGGTGTGATGCTACTCCTACGCCCATCGCAGGCAGCTCCGCAGTGAGCAGAGCTGCAGACCATGTGTCCCGCGACCCACGGCAATGCTCTGCCTGGGTCTTGCGAGATTCATGGTCTGCAGCTAGGAGCCCACCTGACCAACAGGGAATTAAGGTATTTAGTGTCCCCCCCATCACACCCGCCCTCTCATCATCACCCCCCTCCCTCACATATCACCCCCTCTCCCAGCGCGAAATATAGAATTCGCCCGGGTGCCAAATGCTCCAGGTACGCCCCTGGGACCATGGCACCCAGACCACTTCATTGAGATGATGTGGCCTGGGTGACTTTAATGGTCATTTAAGGGGTTAAATGCAATTTTATAACAACAAAAAAAAATTATACATACACACACATATATATATATATATATATATATATATATATATATATATATACTAATGGATTAGTAATATTGCTTGAAAATGTAAAAGCACCAGTTTTAGAGGTACATAATACATTTATAAATAGATCTCTCTGCAAACCTTTTCTATTTGGACATGGCAAAATGTGTTAATTGGGAGCTCAGAGAGAAGTGAGAATGGCAACAGTTTCTTGCATTATAGTTGCTGTTAATTATATTTTTTCGCCTTGAGTGAAGAAGAATGAGCACGGCTGATGCAGCAGCTGGGAATATTCACTGCTGAATTTGAAGTAAATTCTCTATCTAAAAGCTTAGCAGCACAAATAACACTCTACAAACTCCAGGGATAGCAATAGGCAGCAAATGCAGTAAGCTTTACAAACACAATCTTCATCTCCCAGTTTGGTAACTAGAGTAAGTTACAGCCAATTAGATGTATTAGAGCAGCAGTGTCAAAGACATGGCTCCCACGGTTTGAGTGCAGTGGAAATGTAAAAACAAAGTTGTTTATGAGCATCATTAACACTATGTGCACATGCTTGGGGGGGGGATGAGAGGAGAGAGAGTGTGTGTGTGTGCGAGTGTGTTCGTTGCAGTGTATTTCACAGAGCTCCACAGCAATAAAACTCCCAAACTACCGCTAGTTGTATTAGTGTAGAGCTTTGTAATATACTCCTACGCAGTAAGATTTGTGATCCACTCAAACACAATCTTTCCATTTCATATCTGGCCCTTCATTGGTAAAATGGGAAATGAATTGACACACCTGCATTAGAGGCATCAGAGGTGTGATCGCATGCTGCAGGCATGAGGAGAGAGAACCATATTTTAACTCTGCTACAAACCTGCCAGGAAAAGCAGAAACGTGTGAATTGTATGCCCGGAGGGATTAAATTAAAAAAGACCAAATGTGTAATTGGCATAGCCAGCAAGAGTATACACACAAGGAGAACATGACTAACCTTTAATACAGCCACCGCAATATGCCATAAAACAAAGCTCACTGATATGCAGCAGATGAAACCCTTAGACAAGCTTGAAAGGCACATTAACTTAACACGTGGCACCCAATGGCTGCCAAGTGACACTAGAACAAAGCTGTACTCAGTCGAGCGGATTAAATAACTGGGACTTTTCAGTAGAGCATGAACTATATCTGGACACACACACATTCTAGTTTATACATTTTTGGAAACCAGTCAGGAGTTTGTAGTTGTCTAGTTTCATTTTACATCCCTATGCTTAACACAATTAACTTTCATGGCATTGTGAAGTTAAAGATTAGGCCAAAGTAGCAGAATCTCAAGTCTTGATGATCTTATCATATGCAATTCTTCCCCAGAGTGAAGCTTTGTAAGGCAAGTGCACATGTGCGGCAAAACAGATCACTACTGCAATCAGAATCTCTTCACAGAGATACATTGAATCAATGCATCTCCAAAGGGAGTGTTTTAGCTTCTCAATGAGAGCATGGAGATACTGAACGTAGGTCCTGCAAAGATTGCCCAACCTTGTCCAGGAAGTTCTTCTGTTGGCGGTCAGAGTGACAGCTGATAGATGTGGACTTAAAGGAAAACATTATATAGTTGCCTTTTCTCTAAAAAGGTTTTTTTTTACACTGCTGAGCCTGCAGGGACAGGCCCACTGCATTAAACTGTTATGGTTCCTATAGTGTTCCTTTGTAAGTATTAGTTGTTAATTATTATTTTGCTTTATGAAAAATGTAAGTGGTTCCCAACCTGTTTAAAGAAACTGAAATCAATCTTTACAAGGAACAATTTCCATTTCAAGGACAATCAGACACAGTGCTCAGGGGTAATTAAAATCAATATTTCACGTCTGAGTGCTCCAAAAGGGGAAGCAATAGCAAGGGTTGTAATGAAAAACGTATCTGTATTTATCATCCAGAAAACAAAAGTGGCAGCTCAGCACTACAAAATTCACAAATAATACTGATGAGACATATAGGGGGAAAGAAAAGGGAAAATAGAAATTACCACATGCCTAAATGAGCTGGAGTTGTTTTGGATCTAAACAGCTACTTTATCAACAGCCTTACGGATATATTTCATGGATGACAAATAAAGAGAGGTTTTTCATTACATGTCCTGCTATTGCTTTCCTCTTCGGAGTGCTCAGACAATTCTATTATTTTGGGATACAACCTGAATTTAAACAAAATGTCCAGGAAAACCCACCACAATATACTGGCAATTAATCACTCAAAGTCAGAATTCCAGGGATCAAGGTCACCTTTTGGGCCGAGTGTCGATACCTGGTATTGATATATATATATATATAGTGGGAGGAGTGGTAGATCCTGTCTGGACAGTCACAGACACCTATACTCTAATCCAATTCCACAGTCTCAAACTCACTCTCTCACCACCCTGCCTTGAACTGCGCATTTTTTTTTGGTGCCTCCTATTGGCTCTTCTCACAGCAGAGAGGGGTGATGTGAGGTTGTGCGACATGTCGCCTCATTGGTTGGTGGCTGGACGTGGAATACAGCATGCTGTGAATGCAACCCCTGTATGTTATTGTCAGTTTCGGCAATGTTAAATACCGATTCTGATTTATTTTTTTTAAATGCTGAATATCGGCTCTAATAATTAGCCAAATAGATGACTGGACGATCCCTACTCCCCAACTGGCCTTGCAACTGTGGGGGGGGGGGGGGCTCAGCAGAGCCGGTGCTAAAATGGCAGCTTGGCAGCTCTGGCTCCGCTGCCTGGGCAGCTATTTAAAATAAAATTAATTTGCTAATAACTAGTTAAATTTGCAGTAGTTAAAATCATGTATATACAAGTGGTGGCATGAAGGGGTTAAGATTACATGTCTATGATTTTTTTCTGTAATAAACATGTTATGTAATTGATCTATCCTTTGTTTGTTTTGTGAGTCTTGCCACATGTTACGGACATAAATTAAGTCTATATGTATTATAAAAGAGAGCTTTCTGTGCTCATCTGTGAGACACTGTATCTGAAATTAGTATTCCTTTAGCTATCATTACGTCATATAGGTTGCTGTGTGAATACATGCATAGCTTAAGTACTCTGTTCAGACTTGGTTGACATAATTACTTCTGTCTTTGAAAGCTAGAAATTTAATAGATTTCTGATTCTGCTCTTAGTATTCATTAATTAAATTTGCGTTGCATATGCACTTGGAAAGTAATGCATTTTGTGGATTGGGACATCCTCTACTGTCTCTAGAGCCTGGAGCCTGCCATTAAGCTTTGATTTGGTTTTGGTTCCCCCTATTGGCAGATATGGGAAAATATTCGATTTTAAAAGGTTGAACTTCCACTATCTTTTAATTTTTTAATCAATTAAAGGCTAAAATGTAGTGTCAGTTCGGATGCCCTAAATCAGGTGAGGCCAAAGGTGGATCCACAGATTTTGTAGAACTACAACACCCATGATGCTTTGCATGTCTTCAGAATGAAAAAGCATTATAGATGTTGTAGTTTTAAAACATCTAGGGATCTACCTTTTGGGCAGCCCTGCCCTAAATCTATTGAGGGCATTACTACTGTTTTGTAATCCCAAAAGGGAACTGTGCAGACACTGGCTTTTTAAAAGCATATCTATCACTACCACTTCTCTGGAAATTACACTGTTGAAAAAAACCATTTACAATCATCTATAGAAGGTGTTAACGTTTATTTGTGTGATGCTCCATTTTGCTTAAATTTTCATAAATCATTTAGCAAATGACATGGCAAACTAATTCAGTCCTGGCACAGCCATAGTACACATTGCACATGAAACATTGGGGAAGATTTATCAAAGGGATCTGACAAGTGTATTTTATTTTAGATCTGTATTTGGTTTGTATTTTTTTAAATTGTTCTAAAAATGGTGTAAGAAGTGTTGGTTCTACTGTGAAATCGACAATAATTCCCAGAAAAGTCAGTTTCAGAAAAGACTGCCAATGTTAAAGTGGTGGGAAAAAAAAAGAAGTGAAACAAAACATTTCTGGCATAAAAAAAAAAAAAGTAAATCTGTTGCATTGCTCAAAAAGTGAAGTACACTCAAACATGATGCAGTGAGGAGAGACTTCCATCTGGCCAGTTCAGTAGAGTGTTGCAGGATGGTTGTCATTCCATAAGATTCTTTCATCTCCTCACATGATCTATGTAGCTCGCTCAGAGAGACCATTAGGTTCTTGGTCACCTCTCTTACCATGGCCATTCTACACTCGTAGCTCAGTTTGGGTGTGTATCCAGGTTGTTCCAGACTTCTTCCATGTAAGAATTATAAAGGCCACTGTGCTCTTGGAAACCTTCAATATGTAATAAATCCTAAGGGTGCGGCACTTTGTTCTTCCTCTGCACACCACACACGTCGATCGGGTAGATCACTTGCGCAGCACACTTCCCTGCAAGTTGCTAGACGCCGCCCATTTGTGACGTGTGCTTATTTATAGGTTTAATTCGCGCAACGTCAGTTCTGGTCAGGAAGTGACCACATCACACCAGTGACCTCATTCCTGCACTCTTTGAGGTTGCAGGAGTGACGTGAATCAAACAGATTGTACACAACCATATTTGTTTTCCAATTTGACAATTCTTATTAGTTTGTTGGGTACAGAAAGTAAACTGGTGAGAGGAAAAAATGCATATGGTGCTGTCATCACACCAGCTCAGATTACATTACATCAAGTACGGTTTGCCTTACAATTAACAATATCAATGTACAAGACAATATCCATTGTATAGCGTATTTCAAGCAGCACCCCTAGACCATTAGGAAACCAACCCATTATTCTCCTTCTTGTGCGTTGTGTCTCTGTTGTTAGTAGGTTCTATGGTGGTGGATCTTTGTAATAGACAGGAAGGGCATATGCCCAGGTTCTCTTTCTTGTTGGGCTTATTTATTGTTCCATCCCTGTTGGTCTCGGAGGTGGGTAAAGGTTCGTAGGGGAACCTGTTTTTTGGAGTATGAGGTTGTACAGCAGAACACACTTTTGCAACCCTATGGGGAAGATTTTGCTGCCTTCTAATTATCCTAGTGCAGGGTTTTGTCGTTGTGTGCAGATGCAACGTTGTATATGCGTTGTTTCCAATGCCCTGTTAGTGCTGGTGTGGCTGATCAGACACTTGTGAGACGGAGTCGTGAGGGGGTGCGTGGGTAAAGGGGGGGGGTGTATGGGGAGAATAGTAGGGTATAGTGTGGCCTGTGCTGGCTATCTCGGATAAGGCGTGTTGGTGGTCTGGTTGTGTGTAATGTCATATCTTTGGTCAGCTGATAGTGGTGCAGATTTGTAAACCCTCTCTCAGCTTTGGCCTAGATTTAGAGATAAGAACCTCTTTCCATAATAGGTAATTGGGCCCAGCAGTCAGGACGGTATGGGGTACCATTTTTGGGCCTAACCAGGAACAGGAGAACTATATACACTATAAACAAGTGGGTTTTGTGAGATTCAAAGGTAGTTGAGAAAGCGATCCAGAGTGGTGCAGTGGTCTGGTGCAAACTTCCCTAGCTTATGGTAGAGTGTGTTTCCCCCTTCCTCCCTCCTTCCGTTTAAGGCTCAGCACGTCTAATGTACGCTACCCATTTCTCTTGGACCCTTCTGGGTGTAACACCCCTTCGGGAGTATTTTTGTGTTCTGCATTCATAGTCAAAATTGGTGCTGATTTGACTTAGGAGAGCTTCCTTGGTAGGAACCTTTGTAGATTTCGACTCTCTAGCTAATAGTGTGATTGCTGCTACCAGGACATGAACAATCAGTGTGGCGTCTATTCTGTCAAATTGGTCAAGTGACATGAATAGGAAGAAAAGCTCGGGGGAAAGAGATGTCCCTGTTGACGAGTTGAGTTATGATCGACCTCACCCTCTCCCAGTAGTGCACCAACCACAGGCATGTCCACCAGGTGTGGTCCATGGTCCCCCTCGATGTTCTGCATCTCACACGTGTACACTAAGAGGTTGTGTATATTCTTGCCAGTCTGTCTGGCACCATGCACCATCTGGAGTTTGCAGATTATTTCAAAGTGTGATGCGTAGGCCGATGTACCTTTGTGTGCTACAGAGGCTTTTTTTCCCATTGTTGGTCCGTGAGGTCTATGCCTATGTCATTTTGCCAGGCGATTTTGTGGGCGTCTGTCTCGTGAGTGTGGGATTAAGTTAGTATGTGGTAGCTAAGTGATAGGGTTTTCTTGGGGGTTGCTGCTTCGAAAGCAGATAGGGGTGGCAAGGTCTTTTTGGTCTTATAAAGTGGAGATAAGGTTGATTTGAGCTTGAGGTAGGAGAAAATTGTTCTGGAGGGTAGGTGGTATCTGGTTTGTACATCTGGGTATTGCATTGTCTTACCCGCCTCCAGTAAGTGATGGATGTGTGTGCATCCCCTAGACACCCAGGGTCTATAGTCAAATGCTTGGTTGGCCAAGTGTAAGCTGTATAGTGGAGTTGCTAGGGACCACGGTTGTGGCGTGGGGAGTCCACTATCATGGATAGAGTATGGCTGCCTTACAGTACAATTTAACGTCAGGCATGGCCAGGTCCCCCTCCTCTACTACTCTGGTAATTATTCTAATTGCTACCCTGCTTCTCCTTCCACTCCATACAAAGTGGACAAATCATTTTTGAGTTGAATCTAAGAATCTTTTGGGAAGGGGTAATTGCAGTGTTCTCAGCAGGTATTGCAGTTTGGGCAGCAGAGTCATTTTGATGGCCGCTATTCGGCATGTCCAGGATAGGTACTTGCCTTCCCAAGATTTCAAGGTGTCGGATATTACCCCTAGTACTCTCACATAATTTAATTTAAAAAGGTTGTCTAAATTAGACAGTTCCTGCTTAACCCTCAAAGTGAAGTGTCGTCTCATTATTGGGGAGGATTTATTGTATGCTTTTCCAGTTTGACTGCTAGTAGTGTAAACCTATTCGCATGGTTTTTCCTATTCGGCTGTATACAGCATTCAATGCTTAAAATTACTCATATGCTTCTCCGGTTCGGTGATTGTGGTGTCTGCCAGAGTGCTTGGAGTCCTCAGAAAACGCTAGGAGCATCCTTTAACGGAGGTACCCAGTCGGGGTGCCAGGTGATCTGTTACAAGTGTAGACTCCTGCGGTTTGGGAAGTGTGAGCAGGACATCATCCACAAAGAGGTTGGCCTTGTGTTTCCTGTCTCCCAGTTTAGTTTTTGTATAGAGTCATTGGCCTTGATCCGTGCTGCCAAGGGCTCTAGCGCTATGACATATAGGGGGGAGGTGGTCACCCCTGTTGTGACACATTGGAGATTGTATCCGAAAGGAACCCTGCCTTTAAGACTTGTGCTGTGGGGGAACTGTAAAGTGCCTGAACAGCCGCTAGGAATTCATGTGGCATGCCATTTTTAGCCAGGACCACCTCCAGGAACTCCCAGTGGAGACTGTCGAAGGCCTTTTCGGCATCAAGGGATACCACCAGTCCCCCCTGCTTGGTCCAGTTGTTTTACGCTATATAGTAGGCCAACCACCTTTCGGATATTATCCGAACCCTAGCGTCCCGTAATGAAGCCCACCTGGTCGTCATGTATCAGCTGGGGTAGTATTGATCCCAAAGCGTCTTGCATATAGTTTTGCGAAAATGTTTGTGTCAATGTTAAGTAGGGATATTGATCTGAAGTTCTGTGGGACATGAGGGGGTTTGCCTGGTTTTGGCAGAGTCATCTTTGTGCAGTGCCTGCGTGGACAGCGCCTCAAAGTATGCCCGCGCCAGTCGTGGCTGAAGAGTTTCTCTGAATTTTTTTATAGTAGGAGTTATGATACCCGTCAGGGCCATGCGCCTTCCAAGCCTGCAGTGCGTCTATGGCCTCTATAATTTTTCGGTTTGTGATGGGGTTTTTAAGTATGTCTTGTTGCCCTGTGCATAGTGGTTGGCTTTCAAATGTTGTAGCTGAAAACTCATGGTTATCTAAGGCCTTTTGGTGGATATGTCTGGTGAAAGTAGCTATTTGGGATCTTAGTTCTGGGGTGGGTTTGGATTGGTTTTGGACGTTCAGATCATATAGTTCTTGTTTCCACGCTACGAAATGGGTTTCGGATTTTTTATGCTGGTAGGCTGCTCTGCGTATGAGTAGACCCCTAGCAACCGTTTTGTGTGTTACCCAAATCGTTTGTTGAGACATACCAGGCGTGCTATTTTCTACAAAATATTACTCTATAGAGCCGCGGAGTTCCCTTTTCGAAGACTGGGTCACAAAACAGTTTTGGTCTGTGAGGTCCAGAATGACCTGTGCGTGGTCGGACAAGGTTATCCGGTCTATGGAGCTTCCTAACACTTAAGGTTAAGTGAAGTTCATGGCATGAGAAACTTTTCTATGCGTGCGTACATATTATGTACCGCTGAGTAGTGAGTGTATGTTCGGTCTTTTGAATGATGGATCCTCTACACATTGTAAAAGTGAGAGCAATTTTTTGTAGAGAGTTGCATTGGCGTTTAAGGGGTTTGTGTGATAGTGTTGTTTTAAGGTTTGCGTCCAGTACATGGTTAAAATAGCCACATAGAACAGTTACTCCCTGTTGAATTTATAACGGTTTGTTGAGTATATGGTGAAGGAAGCTGCGCTGGTTGGCATTGAGTGCATAGATGTTAGCTATGGTATATAATATGTTATTGATGGTCCCCATCACAAAAACATATCTACCCTGATCGTCTGTTACCTGCATTTGTATGGATACAGACACGTTTGCTAAATAGTATCGATGCGCCTTTGGATTTTGTAGGGGGGTGGCATGAAATTGCATGGGGTAGTAGGCGTACCGAAGTTGGGGATAATCATCGGTTCTAAAGTGTGTCTCTTGCAGGTAGACAATGTTTGCATCTAGAATTTTGAGTTCTCTGTGTAGTAAGTGCCTCTTAACGGGAGGTTTAAACCCCTTACATTAAAAATGCAGATTTTCATGGGGGTTTATACAACACAAATTTATCAATCAGGTTTCGGATATTTATTGTGAGGGAGAAGGGCGCCATTCCCAGCATCATCAAGCTAGGCGTCCCATCCCATAGCATGTGCATGTATCTGAATCGCTGCGATTTAAGAGGGGGGAAAGGGATGCAGTGGAACAGTAGGTTTATGCCACATACATCCCCCTTGCCCGACTGAAGGTGAGCCACCCACTAGGCTCCTAACTGTGGTAGCGTAGAGTGTATGGGACCGGGACAAGCACAGGGGGTACCCATGTGGTAGACAATAACATTGCAAAGTAAATAAGGGTACATGTAACAATACAAGAATCAAGGGTGCCAAAAATACAGCTAGGCACATATCTAAGTGCCAATGGGGTTGAAGCATTAGGTCTTCTTCCTGAAATGGATTTGAGCTAGGGGACCGGATAGTATTGCGGTGACCCAGTAGTCTTGTTGGCGCTAAGAGGAAACAGCGGCATTGTTGGGCACAAGGATGCTCCTGCGCTCACAGGGATAATTTAAAATTGTATATACAGTTGCAAGAAAAAGTATGTGAACCCTTTGGAATGATATGGATTTCTGCACAAATTGGTCATAAAATGTGATCTGATCATCATCTAAGTCACAACAATAGACAATCACAGTCTGCTTAAACTAATAACACACAAAGAATGAAATGTTGCCATGTTTTTATTGAACACACCATGTAAACATTCAAAGTGCAGGTGGAAAAAGTATGTGAACCCTTGGATTTAATAACTGGTTGAACCTCCTTTGGCAGCAATAACTTCAACCAAACATTTCCTGTTGTTGCAGATCAGACGTGCACAACAGTCAGGAGTAATTCTTGACCATTCCTCTTTACAGAATTGTTTCAGTTCAGCAATATTCTTGGGATGTCTGGTGTGAATCGCTTTTTTAGTTGCTAAATGCCTAGGGGCACATGGGTGGGAGACCCTGGGTACTTGCGATTGGCTTGGCCTGATGAGCCAAGTGTGGGAGTCATCAGTGTGAGTTCAAGGTCTCTTGGATTTCTTCCACTCCGGGGCGAACCACGCTGTTACAGGAGATGCTCTGGAGGCCGCAGGTAGTGGTATGCCACAAGATCGTAGGGCTCGTTCGCCCTCTGCAGGGTCGTTGATAGAAGTGTTTTTTCCGTCCATGTGGATCAGTAGCTTGACGGGGTATGCCCAGCAGTATGCCATGCGGTGTTCCCTGAGATGTGCCGTGATCAGGTTGAAAGCTCTTCTCCGCTTGAGTGTCGAGGTAGAGATGTCAGCATACAACTGTACAGCCTTGTACTTGTCTGGATCTGTTGGCTCAGAGTATCACCTCTTTAGCATGATAGTAATGCATGCAGGTCATGGTGTCTCTGGGGACATCTGGAGCAAGGAGAGCCTTGCTGTTCTGTCGACCCGGTCAAGCAGGAGGACGTCCTGTGGTAGATTAGGCACCAAAAGGTGGAACAATTCTGTGACATTTGCCACCAGGTCACCGGGGGGACACGGTCTCACTGATTCCCCTTATACGCAGGTTATTTCTCCTCGCCCTGTCTTCGATCCGCATTTATTCTATAGTATTTTGATATTCTGGCACTGCCCTCAGCTTGTTCTTGACTTTGTGTATTTCAGTTTTCCTGACCATGTCTAGTTTTTTGTAAAATCCGTATGCATGTGATCCTGACACTTTTGGGAAATGTTCCCTGGTGTTCCCAAAAGCATCACACCAGGGGACCAAGTCGGGACTAAACCCGAAAATCAGGACTGTCCCGCTGAAATTAAGTATGTTGGTAGGCATGGATAAGGCTGTAACATAAAAACAAGTGGGAAAATGATCCTGAATACACTATATTTCCTTGCATATAACTTGGTAGCCATGGCCAAAAGATGGGGGCCAGACAAATTTTCTTCTTCACACAAACACAACAGTGTATAATTAAAGGGAAACTCCAGTGCCAGGAAAACGGATTGTTTTGCAGGTCCCCTCTCCTTCCCACCTCCCAATCCCCGGTTGCTGAAGGGGTGAAAACCCCTTCAGGTCACTTACCTGAGACCCAGCCAATGTCCCTCGGCGGTGGTTTCTTCTCGCCGCCGCTCCTCCCAGTCTTTACGTCGGCCGGCCGGCGAGATTGATCCCACCCACCGGCCGTGGAGAACTAATGCGCATTAGAGCTCCCCATAGGAAAGCATTGAAAATGCTTTCCTATGGGGAATTGAGGACGCTGGAAGTTCTCACACAGCGTGAGGATGTCCAGTGACGCTCTAGCAAAGGTTTTCTGTGCTATGATGCAGGAAGTTCAGACAGCCACTAGAGGTGGAGTTAACCCTGCAAGGTAATTATTGCAGTTTATAAAAAACTGCAATAATTACACTTGCGGGGTTAAGAGTAGTGGGAGTTGGCACCCAGACCACTCCAATGGACAGAAGTGGTCTGGGTGCCTGGAGTGTCAGTGTAAGGTTTATTTACCCAATGGTGAATTGAAAACTGATTTGCAAAATTTAGCCTAAAGATAGCCAAACTTTGACAATAGCTTAAATGAAGAACCATATACATTTTGAAATTCGTTTTTTCTTTCACTATAATTCAATGTTTAGTGAATAAAACCCAGCGTGTTAAGTGAATAAATCCTAAAGATTTCTCAATCTTTTTGATATCCAAATGGAATGTAAACGATTTTCCTGTTCACCTGCATTCCCAACTTAGATAAAAGAATGATTTTGTACTTCATGAATTGCAGAACAATCTGGCAAAACATATAACTACATATATATACAAATACAACAACAACAAAAAACACAATTTCACTTATATTCACATGAGGGATGTAACAATTCTTCAGTATTTTCGTCTAAAACAAATTACATCAAAACCATAATGAGGGGAAATTTACATACCATCATAATTAAGAACTCAGCGAGAGCAATAACAGTTACTTTACATCTATACCAAGTCGGAACGTCTGATCCCGGAACAACAGAGACGGGCACTGGTTTCCAGCGTTCTGAATCAGAATACGCGCATAGGTTTCACTTTCTACCAATGAGAGCAAAGCAAACACCGGAAGTTTGTGTGTTGTGTGCGCTCACCACATTGTTCCCCCAAGGTGATTGATAAGTTAGCTAAGAAGGTAACATGGCGAGTGCAATATGGCGAAATTTAAAGCGGAATAAGACTTTCCGGTACGGGGTGCCTATGATGGTAAGTCAGATTTAAGTGAGCCAAGAGTGTGTGTGTGTGAGCTGTGTGTGAGGTCAGTGTGAGCTCAGCGAGCTGTGTGTGAGGTCAGTGTGAGCTCAGTGTGAGCTCAGCGAGCTGTGTGTGAGGTCAGTGTGAGCTCAGCGTGAGCTCAGCGAGCTGTGTGTGAGGTCAGTGAGCTGTGTGTGAGGTCAGTATGAGGTCAGTGAGCTGTGTGTGAGGTCAGTGTGAGGTCAGCGAGCTGTGTGTGAGGTCAGTATGAGGTCAGTGAGTAGTGTGTGAGGTCAGCAAGCTGTGTGTGAGGTCAGTATGAGGTCAGTGAGCAGTGTGTGAGGTCAGCAAGCTGTGTGTGAGCTGTGTGTGAGGTCAGTGAGCTGTGTGTGTGGTCAGTGAGCTGTGTGTGTGGTCAGTGAGCTGTGTGTGAGGTCAGTATGAAGTCAGTGAGCTGTGTGTGAGGTCAGCGAGCTGTGTGTGGTCAGCGAGCTGTGTGTGAGGTCAGTATGAGGTCAGCAAGCTGTGTGTGGTCAGGTCGAGCTGTGTGTGAGGTCAGTGTGAGGTCAGCAAGCTGTGTGTGAGGTCAGTATGAGGTCAGCGAGCTGTGTGTGAGGTCAGTGAGCTGTGTGTGAGGTCAGTATGAGGTCAGTGAGTAGTGTGTGAGGTCAGCAAGCTGTGTGTGAGGTCAGTATGAGGTCAGTGAGCAGTGTGTGAGGTCAGCAAGCTGTGTGTGAGCTGTGTGTGAGGTCAGTGAGCTGTGTGTGTGGTCAGTGAGCTGTGTGTGTGGTCAGTGAGCTGTGTGTGAGGTCAGTATGAAGTCAGTGAGCTGTGTGTGAGGTCAGCGAGCTGTGTGTGGTCAGCGAGCTGTGTGTGAGGTCAGTATGAGGTCAGCAAGCTGTGTGTTTGGTCAGTATGAGGTCAGCAAGCTGTGTGTGAGGTCAGTGTGAGGTCAGCAAGCTGTGTGTGAGGTCAGTATGAGGTCAGCGAGCTGTGTGTGAGCTCAGCGAGCTGTGTGTGAGCTCAGCGAGCTGTGTGTGAGGTCAGTATGAGGTCAGTGAGCTGTGTGTGTGGTCAGTGAGGTCAAGCGAGCTGTGTGTGAGGACAGGGAGCTGTGTGTGAGGCCAGCGAGCTGCGTGGCTGCAAGATTCAGCTTGTTATTCCTGGACACACAACACTCCTATATGCTGATTGTCAACACCACAAAAGTTCTGCCCTATTGTATGTACAATTTATATGCTACAGAGTGGAAGCCAAATTTAAATAGGCTAAGCTTCTTCGGGCTGCAGATAGGTTTTTAGCACCTATCGTACACAGACCGACATACAGATACACACACAAATATACACACAATAACAGACATACAGATACACACCCACAGACAGACATACAGATAGACACACACACACACACACACAGACTGACAGATATACACACAATGACAGACATACAGCTATACACACACTGACAGACATAGACATACTTATACAAAACACACGAACATAGATACACACACACTGACAGACATACTTATACAGAACACACAAACATAGATACACACACTGACAGACATACAGATACACACAGACAAGCAGATAAACACAGTCATACAGATACACAACACACACTGATAGACAAGCACATACATACACACACACAAACACACACACAGAGACAAACATACAGGTCAGTTTCTTACCTTTTGGGTGCTGGAGGGTGGATTCCCTTGTATCCATTCTGCAAGTTGAGGATGTTGGGAATTTGGGGCTGGCTCTTGCAGCCTGCATCCCCTCCTCTCCTTCCTTCTCATCTTTGATCCCTCCCTCCCTCTGCTGTTCTAGTCTCTCCCGACCTGGCCCCCCCTTGCAGCCTCCTCCCCCCTCGTGCCCGGCTCATGTCTCTGGGAGGAAGTGACTCTCAGCACTCAGTTCCTCCAATGCTGCCGATAAGCAATGGACCTGGTTGCGCTGTTAAAGTGCCACCAGCGACCGACCAGGCCCCTGCTCACACATGCCCAAGTGCATGGGCCACCCAATGGGACTCCGTATGTTGTTCAGGCCTGAGCTACAGGGAAGCTGTTTTCAAGAGCTGATGGCATGAAGACGTGACTTTTAAAATAGGGTGCCGTGTTTAAGATCTGTTGCTTTCTTTTGTGGCAACCCAGGCACAACTGGCAAGCTAAGGTTTAGGGAGTGAGTATAAAGCGGCACTGTCACACTTTATGAAATACTAATTTTGGCTGTGTTGGAAATTCACTGATATTCTAACCCAGTCAAGAAAGTTAGGATTATGCCTGACACTTCTAGGCACTGGGTCGAGCAACCGCCTTCTAGAAGTGTCAATCCCTCCTACGGCTGCAGGGATTTTCTTTGTCTATGGAGGATCCCGCGATCTCACAGGATCCTCCATAGACCTTAATGCTGTACTCTCGCGAAAAGGACTCGCTGGAGGAAGATGACCGCAACCACGAAGGACAGGTTCAAGTGTGTAAACCTCATCGATGTCACCATTGGGGAGTGTGATAAACGCTCCTTACCTTGGACGTTTTTCACGAACTCCTAGAGGAGCCTGCTAGCTAGCCTCCTGCCAAGGACTATGGGCCACATACAAAAACCCTGTTCGGGGTTAAATCTCCACAGCCTCCATTACCAGCTTTCCATGGGTGCCCCTGGTTTGGCACTTTCTCTTCATTCGAATGGATCCAAACATGAGCTCCCTGGCGGCCGTTCGTATGAAGAAACCCACGAATTGTCCTCAGCGGTACTTGACCGCGATTGTTATGGAACTAAATTCATCATGAGGACTTGTGGGTTCCCGGTCACCTCAGCGGGACTTAGCTGCGAATGTTATGGAACTGTTTGCAGCATGAGGTGACCGTGCGGCCCCCGGACAACATGGTCCAGGGTTTTAAACGACCTTGAAATCCGCCAGGAGAGCGCTTTTTGGAAGAAAGGTGCCCAAGACTAAGGGGAACAAACGCTACCCGAGACCCAGGCAGAGCACCCCGTATTGCGGCCACAGGAGCTCCTGAAAGTTGACCAGCCAAACCACCAAACACCCTGAAACTGTTTTGGGCATAGGACCATGTGTGCGGCCGGTCAGAATTTTGACACGGTGGCGTTTCCCCTATACTGCAAGGATCTGAGCGCTTTTTGGAGGGAAGCTGCACGAGACTAAGGGGAACAAAGCGACCTAGCAGCCAGCCGGAGCACCCTGTATTTCAGCCACAGGAGCTCCCAGAAGTTGACCGGCAAAAGCACCAAAGGCCCTGGAACTGTTTTGGGCATAGAACCATGTGTGCGACCGGTCCGAACTTCCACACGGTGGTGTTTCCCCTACACTGCATGGATCTGAGAGCTATTTGGAAAACTTGGGCGCTCAGATCGGAACTATTTAACGAGATATTATTTGTGGGTGCTTCTATTTGTTTTGTATGTATTTTTTATGTATCACACTGACACAGGAATTTGTGGACATTTTGTGGGAGTGTTCTGGGCGTCTTTTATTGCATCCTTTTTTTTGTATATAAGTGGGCCAGTTGGCCAGATTAAACACATTTGTTTCTTCCCTTCATCAAGTCTAGGCTGATGTTTGAGGAATTGGGAGCTATAATCACTGCTTCACTAGGGATCTGGGAGAACTACAGCGGATATACTCAGTCGGAGTATAGGGGATCCGTTACATTGGTGGCAAGTGGCGGGATCTTTCTCTCAAATGAATATCCCAAACCAGGAAGTCCAGTGAAGGGCCAACAGTGTCCCTGTCTGAAGAGGAACTCGGGAAATGGAGCGAACTAGCCCCCGGGCAGCCTCCCGATATGAGGAAAAGTTCCAAAGGAGACTACAGAACGCCTTTTCCCCGAGGCATACCGGGCGCTACTGTGGTACTCAGTCCAGAGGGGTCCTTGGATGACTGATGGCGATACTCCAGAGGGAGACTACTACGACGGCCCTGGACTGCTATGGGAGGCATTGGAGGAAGAGAGTGACTTTGGTAGCACAGCAGAGTCTCGGTATTGGGACATCTGGGAACACCGAGTGGATACAGTTGAGCTCCCTGATACGGGGCTGGGACCAGATACCACCCGTCTGGTCATGGTTGAATGGGAAGTGGAGCAAGACTACCAAAACCTACTAGACTCGGTTCAGCAGCAGCAAGCATCCCTGGGAGTGGAGATAGTCGGTCTCACTACCCAGCACCAGGCAGCGTCACATGGAGAGGAGGTTGTCAGTCAATCATTCCAGCAGCAGCAAGCATCCCTGGGAGTGGAAATAGTCGATCTCACTACCGAGCACTAGGCAGCGTCACAGGGAATGGAGATTGTTGGTCCCTCATCCCTGTAGCAGCAAGCATCCCTGGGAGTGGAAACATAGAAACATAGAATGTGACGGCAGATTAGAACCATTCGGCCCATCTAGTCTGCCCAATTTTCGAAATACTTTCATTAGTCCCATGCCTTATCTTATAGCTAGGATATAGTCGGTCTCACTAACTAGCACCAGACAGCATCACAGGGAGAGGAGACAGTCGGTCTCACTCCCCAGCGGCAGTGTACCAGGCAGGCAGAGGAGTTAACTGGTCTCTCTCCCCAGCGGCAGCCAGAGTTACAAGGAGAGATTTTCGGTCCCTCTCCCCAGCAGCAGCAAGGGAACCTTCAGAATAATGCCCAAAATGACATTATTCATTATTTTTTATAGATGTCTCTTTACAGGAAGTGTTTAGGAAAGCTATGTAAGTCACTTGCACAGGGGTGTGACTAGGGCTGCATAAACAAAGTGATTTAACTCCGAAATGGCAGAGAATTAAGCAATGAGACTGCAGGTACATGATCTATACACCAAAACCACTCAATTAAGCTAAAGTTGTTATGGAGCCTATAGTATCCCTTTAATTTTAATAGGGAGTGGCTAGGGCCTTATGAACACCTAGGCACTGGGGAGGGGTGGACACTGGTATGTACACCTATATATATATTTTATTGGTGGTCCACATCTGTTGACTATGGATGGAGGGTGAAGGGGAAGACTAGCCATCCCCTATAAAGTTATTTTTTACCTTTTTAATGTGGCAGCCAATTAGCAATTGCTGACTAGTCGTCACATGGTTAATCGTCTCGCTTCCAGCATCATAGTTTTGATATTTTTCAGCCACACCAAACATTGCCAGATTGCTGAAATCTGGTCCCAAATTATTTCACTATCGGTTACAGGTCTAACCAAGCGCTGCCTGGCCAGCACTTTCTATTCTGCTGCCACATTTAAAAAAGTTATAAATAAGTCTATGGTGGTCAATATGACTTCCATATTACCTTAAGGGTTTTTTTAACATCACTTATGTCCCCACCTGCCATTGCTGCACGTAGCAGCTAGAAAGGAAAATAATATTGGGGACCTGGTCCCTCCACCCGAGTGCCTAGAATAGCACCGTTCGGTACAGGGCTGTTCAGAGTTTAGATAATAACACGGTTAGAGTTTAAGTCAAGGTACATTTTTGAGTTTATTTAGACTCTTCAACAGTTGAACGGTTATAGTCAATGGTGGCTTGTCCGTGGGGCACTTTCTTGATTATTAATGTCATAAATAAAAAAATAATAATAATAATAAACCACTTCCATTGTATAACTTGCGTAGAGGTAGGCAACCTTTGACACTCCAGGTGTTGTGTTAAACATCTCTCATAATACTCTTTTATACAACATCTATACAACATTTGGCGTGCAGAAGATTCCCTACCCCTGACCTATAGCAAAGGGGTAACTTGCCACTTTCCATTACAAAGGGCAAGCATACACCGTACACTGCTGGACTATAATTCCCCCTCCTTTTCTTTCACCATATCTCAAACTGACTCGATGATAATGAGTGGTGGATGTCTCGATAAGCTCCAGATAGCATCTGGGCATATGCGAAATTTGACCAGTCTGAAAGCCCTGAGACATTCTCAGTCGGCTCCTAGTGTTGATATATGAAAGGCCCATTTATTTTCCAGTATTGTACCTGAGCTGGACGTCCCATGCATAATAGATTTAAAAAAAAAAAAAAAAAAGTCTTATTTTTATTATATTTGTTGTTTTTAATAAAAAAAATATTCTGTGTCATCCAATAGCAATACTCTGTGTTTCTTGAAAGTGTGTACCCCAGTTCCAGCACTGGTTGTTGAAAATGTGTTTTCCAATACTAGCTCTTGTGAACCTGCTGACAATGTGTCCCTTAATCCCAGCACTATATGTGTCTGTTAAAGCATATTTTGAGATTATCCAAGTACATTATCAGTATTGTTTTGTGTTCTCAAGTCTTCTATTTTTATCACTTTCAGTGCATGAGGTTTGCCACTAACTTAGATTCTCCCTCCCCCACCCCCCCCAAGATGATCAGGAGGTGGGTTTCTAAAGAGAGAGGTTGGAGTCAAATTTAGCGAATCTCGTACCCCACTATCTTACAACTTCACCAGCAGCTACTAGTTATAGCCTAGTCTAGTGTGGGAAATGTTACTATACTGCCCAGCAAATATACATAGACACAATATTAAAACCACTGACAGGTGAAGTGAATAACATTGATTATATTGCCACAATGTCACCTGTAAAGGGGTGGGATATATTGGGCAGCAAATGAACAGTCAGTCCTAGAATTTCATGTGGCATAAAAATGCGCAAGCAAAAAGATCTGATGAACTTTCACAGAGGCCAAATAATGTTAGCTGGATAACTGGGTCAGGCCATCTCAAAAACAACAAGTCTTGTGGGGTGTTCCTGGTATGCAGTGGTTAGTACCTACCAAAAATGATGCAACACCACTGCTGTTTGCTGCGTATGGGGCAGCGTAGCCATAAACCAGTCAGAGTGCCCATGATGAACCCTGTCCACAGCCAAAAAGCCACCAATGGGGATGTGAGTGTCAGAACTGGACCATGGAGAAATCGAAGAAGGTTACCTGATCTAATGAATCACATTTTCTTTTAGATCAGGTGGATGGCCAGGTGCTGTGTGCGTTTTTTACCTGGGCAAGAAATGTCAGCAGGAAGCAGTATGGGAAGAAGGCAGGCCGACAGAGGAAGTGTTATGTTCTGGATAATGTTCTGCTAGGAAACTTTGGGTTCTGGCATTCATGTGGATGTTACTTTGACACATACCACCTACCTAGAGATTGTTGCAGACCATGTACACCATGGCTATGGTGTTCCCTGATGGCCATGTCCTCTTTCAGAAGGATACTGCTCCCTGCCAAACTGCAAAAAAAAATTTCAGGAATGGTTTAAGAACATGAGTAAGAATTTAAGGTGTAGCCTTGGCCTCTAAATTCCTAAGATCTCCATCCGATTAAACATCTATGGGATGTGAACAAGAAATCTAATCTATGGAGGCCCCATCTTGCAACTTGCAGAACTTAAATAACCTGCTTCTAATGTCTTTGTGCTAGATACCACAGGACATGTTCAGAGGTCTTGTGACTCGATGCCTCGATGCATCAGAGGTGTTTTGGCAGCACGAGGGGGGCCTACACGATATTATGTAGGTGGTTTTAATGTTGTGTGTGTGTGTGTGTATTATATGCAGTCCATTAAGAAAGTATTCAGATACCTTCACATTTTTTTTCGCAGATTTTTATATTTCAGTATTGTGCTACGGTTGTTTTATTTATTTTTTATTCACATCAATCTGCACTCAAAATACCACAATGACAAAGCAAAAAAAAAAAAAAACAACAGATTTTTTAAACTTGTTCAAGACTATTACACTTAAAAAAATTGAAATATCACATTGACATAAGTATTCAAACACTTAGTTGAAGCACCTTTATCAGCGATTACAGCCTCAATGGTTTTTGGGTATGATTCAACAAGCTTTGCAACTTGGAGGAAGACAAGCTAAATTTCTGTATTTCTGTGTGTAAATAAAGTGTGACTTTATGTAAAGTGGTGTGAGTTTGTGTTTAAGTGACACTGTGTGTTAGTGATAGTGTGCAAGTAACCCTGTGTGTGTTAGAGTGTGCAAGTGACACTGTGTTAGTGAGAGTGTGCAAGTGACCCTGTGTGTGTTAGTGAGAGTGTGCAAGTGACACTGTGTGTGTAAGTTGGTTAGAGTGTGCAAGTGATAGTTTGTGTGTAAGTTAGTGAGAGTGTGCAAGTGACACTGTGTGTAAGGGACACTGTGTGGTGGTTAGTTAAAGGGATTCTGTGTGTGTGTGTGTGTGTATGTCAGTGATAGTGTGTGTGTTTTAGTGAGACTGTGAGTGTGTAAGGGACACTGTATATTAGTGAGTGTGTGTGTTAGTGAGAGTGTCTCTTTTTTAATCCAGGGCTTGACAAATTTGTTTGGAATATAGGAGCCAGCTAAAAAAGTTAGGAGCCAGTCATTTTCAATGAGAAAGTGCAATTCTTAAAGGGACACTATAGTCACCATAACCACTACAGCTTGATGTAGTTATTCTGGTGTCTATAGCCTTTTCTGTGAAAAGGCAGAGTTTACATTGCTGCTTACTAACACCTCTAATGACAGTCACTCAGACGGTCACTAGAGAGTCCTGGGTCACTGCTGCACCATGTGCAGCACCCAGGTTCAGTGTCTCCAAGCTCTGCATGGAGGCGCTGAATGTTCCTCATAGAGATTGGTTAATGTACTGCATCTCTATGAAGAGATGCGGATTGGTACATTTGCTGCGCATGCACAAAATCCTCCCAATGCTTTCCTAAGGGAAAGCATTGCCTTAGCTGAGATCATAAAGATTGATCATCTCAGCCATGGCAAAACTGGCACGGCGTGGGAAAATGGGAAGAAAGGTGAGTAAAAAACACCTTCCTTATGCTATCGGAGGGGGCAGGTACCTAAACGCGCACGCACACACTGACTGGCTCTCTCACACGCACACACTGACAGGCTCACATACACACTCATGCTGATAACAGGCTTGCACACACACACACTCTCTTGACATGCTCTCTCTCACACACACATACAGACACTGACAGGCACTCTGACATGCTCGCTCACTCTGACAGCACACACACACACACACTCTGACAGGCTCTCACACACACACACACAGACACTGACAGGCTCTCTCACACACACACTGACAGCACACACACTCTGACAGACTCACACACACAGTCTGACAGGCTCTCTCACAAACACACACTCTTGACAGACTCACACAGGCTTACACACACACGTTTTTGTTTTAATTGAAACCCACTCAGCCTCCCTACCTTTTCGAGAGCTGAGTGGGTCTTCCATGGGGTCCAGTGGGGCTGCACTCTTCCTGTGTGCAAGGTAGCAGTACTCTGCCTGTAGCTCCTCTCTGCTCCCTCACGCTCTGTAATGATGCCGGGGCTGAAATGACGTCATATTCCGGCTCCCGACATCATTAGACAGCGCGAGGGAGCAGAGAGGCGCTACAGGCAGAGTACTGTTCCCTTGCGCGCCGCCCATAATTCTCCCGCGGGCGGCATCCTCTATGTACCCAGGGGCGGGCGGCATCCTCCATGTACCCGCGGACAGGCGGCATCCTCTATGTACCCGTGGGCGGCTTTAAAGCTCCCTCCCACACTTACTAGAGAGCTGACAAATCCCAGACGCCAGGGCAAAATCGAGCCCTGTTTTAATCTAAATGTGTGCTTACTATGTCTCTCTCCTAAATGTCTCCCACTCTCTGTTTCCTAAATATCTCAACAGTCTCTCTATGCTTTCCGTAAATGTCTCCACAGGCTGTTTCCGTACTTTCTCATTGTGCTTCTGCTTTCACTTAAAGGGACACTATAGGCACCAAGACCACTTTAGCTGATTGAAGTGATCTGGATGCACTGTCCCAGGCCCCTCATCATGTAAAAGTAATTATTGTAGTTTTTAGCAAACTACAATGATTACCGTTGAGGGATAACTCCACCTCTAGTGACCCTTCATGGGGACGTCCAGCGTCACGCAAAACCCCATAGGAAAGAATTGTATAATACTTTACCAATCCTAATGCAGCCATTGAGGAGTGAAGGTGGAACCGAGCCAGCGCCGAGGGACATCAGTGCTGGACCCGGGTAAGTGACAGAAGGTCTTTTTGTTTTGTTTTTTACCCCTTTTGCACCACGAGGTAGGGGCGCTATATTGTTTTTCTGGCACTATAGTTTACCTTTAATGTCTAGGCAGTGTGTCTCTTTCCCTAAATGTCTCTTGACTGCAATTCAGAGTTTACTGAATAAACCTCTGAGGGAATGTAGCTGCATTCATGACGGGGCGGCAAGAATCCTTGCACCGGCCCTGCCTGATTTGGCTAGTTTCTGCCATTTATCACTGCGAGTGTCCACTTTTTGAATCTTCTGTGTTCCTTTAAAATTATGTGCATGTATACCTCGAAGAAGTGATGCTGTTTGGAAGGCAAAGGGTGGTCACACCAAAGATTTTCTTCTTTTCACTTACTTTGCATTTTGAATTGAAAAAAAAAGAAACTATGAAGATTTCTGTTTTTGAAATCAATAGTTCAGTTGTAAAAAGAAAACATGTACGTACTGTTGTAAATAGTGTTTTGCTTTTTTTTTTCCCATCCAGCTATTAATCGTGGGTGGTTCTTTCGGCCTGCGGGAATTTGCCCAAATACGCTATGATGCCCAAAAACATAAAAGAAGGGTAAGTGTCCTGCCAGTATGGCTAGCATTAATACTGTTTCAGCTACCAGGAAGCCACCGAATATGAGGAGGTTTATAGTCTTAAGCTTTTTACAGAATTCATTAAACTACTAATAGCAGTACAAATCATATTTTTCAAGCCTTTCTAAAGAATTTTCATAGAGCTTTAAGCACCCTCTTGTGACTCAAATAATTGAATGTGCGTGCAGATAAAAAGGAAGTAACTGACACTCATTGCAAGAGGAAGATACATTAATCTGATTTTACTGTGTGGGAACAAGTCTTTCATTCAGCCAACATCATTGCTGATCATTTACTTTGCTTTACAGTCTTTCTTTAATATAATTTTAATGTCTGCTATTTGCCCTCTGCATTTTAATATTTAATTTTTGTTTAATGAATCTATGATTTAATATTGTCAGTAAGTAAAAGTAAAATAAATCTGCATTTTTGCGCAGATAAGTCTGCTTGTTGAAGAATCATGTAGGTGAAAAGGAGCCCAAGTAATCAAGGTCAACAAAAAGTAATGAAAGTAAATCTACATCCATATAAGGAGAAATTAAGATTTGTTGTTGTGTTTGGTTTGTTTCAGGCAATTGTGTAGCTGTGATTTGAGATTTGTAAGTTTAACATTCTTTTCATGGATAAATGTATCACATCAAAGTCCATTGTTCGTACTTCTGAAACATAATCCTAGGACTCTGCTTGTGGTGTGGTTCATTCAGTCAAAACAGTGTGCCCATTCTTGACAGTGTCCCTTACTGTTAGGGTAATTTATTTGACTGACTAAACCAACTGTAACTCATGTAGGATCTTGGAATTATTTCTAGATGACTGTTGGGGACCTTGTAATAGATCCTGTCTGTTTGGGTGCTCCATTTGGAGAGCCTCTCCGTTTATTACATTTTGTTCTATTAAAGGAACATTCTAAGCACACTTTAGTAATTTTGGTACCAGAAGTGCCGTAATGTAAGTAGTCAAATTGCTTGTTAACGGTTTGACTTCTTACATGGGGTCCGCCCGGTGCTCTGAACTGGCTCCTCACTGCAGAACTTCCAGAGAGCTAATGGACGCCCCTAGTAAGAGCTTCTGACTCTCAATGGTTGCAGAGAGTCGGGGAGCAACGCCCAGTTGAAACATTATCTTAATATACAGGTGATACTCGAAAAATTAGAATATCGTGCAAAAGTTCATTTATTTCAGTAATGCAACGTAAAAGGGGAAACTAATATATGAGATAGACGCATTACATGCAAAGCAAGATAGTTCAAGCCGTGATTTGTCATAAGTGCGATGATTATGGCTTACAGCTCATGAAAACCCCAAATCCACAATCTCAATAAATTAGAATATTGTGAAAAGGTGCAATATTCTAGGCTCACAGTGTCCCACTCTAATCAGCTAAGTAAGCCATAACACCTGCAAAGGGTTTCTGAGCCTTTAAATCGTCTCAGTCTGGTTCAGTAGGAATCACAATCATGGGGAAGACTGCTGACCTGACAATTGTGCAGAAAACCATTATTGAAAGCCTCAAAAGGTAATTGCGAAGGAAGTTGGATGTTCCCAAAGTGCTGTATCAAAGCACATTAATAGAAAGTTATGTGGAAGGGAAAAGTGTGGAAGAAAAAGGTGCACAAGCAGCAGGAATGACCACAGCATGGAGAGGATTGTCAGGAAAAGGCCATTCAAATGTGTTGGGGACTTTCACAAGAAGTGGACTGAGGCTGGAGTCAGTGCATCAAGAGCCACCACACATAGACTGATCCTGGACATGGGCCTCAGATGTCGTATTCCTCTTGTCAAGCCGCTCCTGAACAACAAACGTCGTCAGAAGTGTCTTACCTGGGTGAAGTTTCCACATTCTGTGTTGATTTGGGGAGCCATGTCATCTGCTGGTGTTGGTCCACTGTGCTTCATTAAAGGACCACTATAGTGCCAGGAAAACATACTTGTTTTCCTGGCACTATAGGGTCTCTAGGTGTCCCCCCCCACCCTCAGGGTCCCCCTCCCGCCGGGCTCTCTCGGCACAGGGAACTCTCCTCCTCCTTTTCGCCATCATCAGCTGAATGCGCATGCATGACAAGAGCTGCGCGCGCATTCAGCCATTCCATAGGAACGCATTCTAAATGCTTTCCTATGGACGCTGGCTTCGTCTCACTGTGAAAGTCACAGTGAGAAGCGCGGAAGCGCCTCTAGCGGCTGTTAATGAGACAGCCACTAGAGGCTGGATTAACCCTATTGTAAACATAGCAGTTTCTCTGAAACTGCTATTTTAACAGCAGAAAGGGTTAATCCTAGATATACCTGGCACCCAGACCACTTCATTAAGCTGACGTGGTCTGGGTGCCTATAGTGGTCCTTTAAGTCCAGGGTCAACGCAGCCGTCTACCAGGAGATTTTGGAGCACTTCATGCTTCCCTCCGCAGACTAGCTTTATGGGAATGCTGACTTCATTTTCCAGCATGACTTGGCACCTGCCCACACTGCCAAAAGCACCAAAGCCTGGTTCAATGACCGTGGGATTACTGTGCTTGATTGGCCAGCAAACTCGCCTGACCTGAACCCCATAGAGAAACTATGGGGCATTGCCAAGAGAAAGATGAGAGACATGAGACCGAACAATGCAGAAGAGCTGAAGGCAGCTATTGAAGCATCCTTGTCTACCATAACACCTCAGCAGTGCCACAGGCTGATAGCTTCCATGACACGCCGCATTGAGGCATTAATTGCTGCAAAAGGGGCCCAAACCAAGTACTGAGTCCATATGCATGCTTATACTTTTCAGAGGTCCGATATTGTTCTAGGTATACTCCTTGTTTTATTGATTGCATGTAATATTCTAATTTACTGAGATTGTGGATTTGGGGTTTTCATGAGCTGTAAGCCATAATCATCGCACTTATGACAAATCACGGCTTGAACTATCTTGCTTTGCATGTAATGCGTCTATCTCATATATTAGTTTCCCCTTTTAAGTTGCATTACTGAAATAAATTAACTTTTGCACAATATTCTAATTTTTCGAGTATCACCTGTATCATACTTATTGAGAAATACTTTTCTGCTCCGCATAATTAAGCGAATTCTTAAGGTTTGGGTGAGAATTGTTCTTTAAAGATCAATTTTTTTAAAATTTTTTCTTAAAGAATCATTTTAATAAAGGTTTTGTAGAGAGATAGTGATACCGGAGAAACTGACGGAAGCAAAGCACAGAGGGATGGACACAGGTTTCTTCAGGAAGGAAGAGATTCTTTATTGGATCACCGATCGGGACTCAGAGGGACTAATGTCACCAAAAATACAGCAAGTTCTGAGCCCTGAACAATAGTGCAGGCTCCCTATATAGGCACATAACTCCTCCCATATTAAGCTCCACCCGCACATTCTCTTGACCAATCATTACAAATAAGAATTAACTTCCTGCTTGACCGCATGGCTTGTCCAGCACAATGGAGGAGGGGAATACTACATCCTGTATTCTTGCACATGCTCCGTACACTACTGATCGTATCTTGCCTCGTGCAACCAACTGATCGATACGTCAGCATATGCACGTACACATGCCACGTGGTAATCTCGGCCTACTAAATTTATTTTTACCGAGATTCCACCACAATAGCATTGCATATTAGGTGAAAGGGTTGTGTATTTATAAAAGTTGTACAGCTACTGTGGATTCTAGTAGCCTGCATCCAAGAATAGTAGTAGAAGTATATGTATCCCCTGGAATGCGCAGCTGATCTTGTATCTACAGAATGTTACAAACCATTAGCATTACATTTTAACAGCAGACTTTAAACAAGGGGGGACATTTGATAAAGCTTATACCCAGAAAAAGGAGAGGCCTCTGGAGCAACAAACTGCTATGTTAACTTTCACATGGCAGAAAGTGGGGATATTGGCCTGTCACAGACCGCTATACCAGGTGTGGAATAATATGGAAATGAGGATGGTGGTCCAATTAATGAACCAGATCTGGAGCAGTCTAGTGTATGTTGATGCACAGGTGTCTGTGCAGATAGGGTGAAGGGAGGCTATTGTACATGCGCAGCAAATCTCCACGCTGCGCCATTCAAATGCTATCTATAAGCAGCATTTAGTTGAGAACCGAGTTTGACTCGGTTTTCAACGCAGAAGCGCCTCTAGTGTTCATCTCAATGACAGCCTGTAGAGGTGTGTTAGTTAAACCTGCAATCATAACTTTGTCGTATCTACTAAATGGCAATGCTTTATATTGTAGGGTTAAAACCAAAGATCCACCAAGACGGTTTCATTAATATGACGTGGTCTGGGTGCCATTAGTGATCCTTTAATAAAAAAATAATGGTGTAGCTAAAAACATACACTCTTTGATTTTAATATTAGTAGTAGTACTTCTGGTATTTATACTAAACCAGCAAATTCAACAGCACTAAAATATAGTTTATACAAAACACAAAAAATGGGTAAGTGGCGCTAAACAGTATATAGATATAAATATATATAAATATAAACAATATATCCCAGTGTGTCTAAAACCAAACCAGTGTTTTAGTCATCATTTACATAAATACAGTTGGATAAAAGAAGAGGAGGTTTTGCGCACACAGTGGATAAATGGTAGTAAAATCTGTAATATATAAAAGACTATCATAGGGCAATATGCATATAACCAGTATAAAATGTAAAAGTAACTTGGAGCACTCACAATCTAGAGAGCCATATAAGTCGGCTCTCTACTATAATAGCGTGTAGAATACTCCAGAATCGATGCCGTGATTGAGATGGTCCCCCAGGAACAGAAGTCAAAATCCGTCTGGATAAAATCAGGAACCAAAATAAATTGTAAAATAAATACTTTATTAAAATAAAAGATGAATAAGCACAATCATTATATTATATATTACAGATTTTACTACCATTTATCCACTGTGTGCGCAAAACCTCCTCTTCTTTCATCCAACTAAAATATGGTTTAATTGCAGTATTAAAGAACGGCAACAGGCTATATATTTATTAGAATAAGTACATGTGAGTATTAATGCTTTTGTTCTATATAGGTAAAGGTAGAGATGTGTATTATTATTTAAACTACTCCCAGGTTAGAACTACTCTTTCAAATTTGTGTATGAATTGTATCACATTTCTCCAGACGGTGGCAATGTTCTACCTTTCTCTCTGTTCACTCATGCGCATAGAATATTGAAGGATCGGAAGGTTTAGTAAAAAAATAAGAATTTAGCAAGTGTCAGATGAGATGCAGTGGGCTCATTACTGTTGGACCAAGCTTTATATTTATTGGTTTATGCAATAATCCTTTTTTAGCTTTGATGCTGCTGTTTTCTGTTTTACCAACATGAAATTTGAATTACATAATGAGTAGAATCAAAAAGCCATTTAATTGCCTAGAGAACCCCTTAAAGGGACGCTTTTGCTTCATGAATGACAAATGTATGATTTATTGACCATATCCTTTTTGAACAGCCTTCTGATACAAGTAATACCAAATAGGTATCACTGCTGAGCATTCTGTTGAAGACAGTCTTTTACTCTGCTTCACTAGACACTATCCATAGTACATACCTATCCTGAAATGAAGAACACAGTGTAACAGATGTTCAGTCCAGGACAGTTTTTGCATGAGCAACTAGTTCATGTAAAAAATTGAATACCTCTTCATCACAACTAAGATTTGAATTAGCCTTCCTTGTTCTAACAGTCTTGTTTTCTCATGCACTCATCTTGTGTGGAAAAGTTTACAATGGTATATATGTTTGTTGAACCCTTCTTGAGAGATGAGCAGTATGTCTCTGACAGTCTTTTTCACATACAGAAACCATAATGAGAGCTGCAACACCAATTTTATAGGGACATTTTAATTCCATCATCTAGCGTAAACCTGTGAATGTCTTTGTCACTTTACAATTGAAGATGTTGCAACTCTTTTATTGTTGACTATTGAGGACTTAGAACTTGGTATTGGATTGCTGTACTCAGTTTTTTTCAAATGGCAACGGATTTATCTGTTTTTTTTTCTCAAATCCAAGTTACTTCAAACATGAATGGCTGAAATAAAATTTAAAGGAGCGTAGAGTCCCATTCTTGTATCCCCTCCACTGCCGACAGCCTACGCCAGGGGTAGGCAACCCATGGCACGTGTGCCATGCACGGCACTCAAGGTGTCTTTGTACCGCGCTCAAGGCTAGGGATCGACTGATATTGATTTTTTTCAAGCCGATACCAATAATCTGTGAACTTTCAGGCCGGGAGTGGCTAAAAGCTTCTGAGGGCTGGGCGATTTGTCTGCTTTTAAATGTCTATTCATAAATCCATTGCAAGCACGCCATACGTGCACTTGAAACAGTAATAAAGACCAGTGATTTCCACCTGGACAGTGTATTCATGCATGTCAGGTAGTGATTCGCCGAACGGTTCGCCGCGGACTCATCATTGAGTAAACTTTGACCCTGTACCTCACAGTCAGCAGACACATTCCAGCCAATCAGCAGCAGACCCTCTCTCCCAGACCCTCCCACCTCCTGGGCAGCTCACTAAGAATGCAGCTTCAAAATGGATGCTGTCCAGGAGGTGGGAGGGTCTGGGAGGGAGGGTCTGCTGCTGATTGGCTGGAATGTGTCTGCTGACTGTGAGGTACAGGGTCAAAGTTTACTCAATGATGAGTCAGCGGCGAACCGTTCGGGACATCACTAATGTCAGTATGTAGCTAGTTATGTGTGAATGTGGTTAATTAGGTGTGAGAGACTGGCTTAAAAGAACACTGCAAGCACCATAACCACCTCCACTTGCTGTAGCGGTTATGGTGATAGGAGTGCCCTGGTTCTCCTCCATTGTAAGTACTTACCTGGAGTATGCTGGGCTTCTCTGTACCTCAACTACTAACTCCAAAGAGCTTGAAATTCCTAGGCTGGAACTTACATGGGCTCTCCTGAGCTAACCCACGCAGTGGATGAATTGATTTAGGAGAGCTAACACAATTTTCTGTAAAAGAACTTCCAGCTCTCTGTTGTCAGTAGTGAACTCAGGGAATGGAGCCCAGTGGACCCAAGGTAAAAAATCAACCTTTTCTAAAATGGTTTCACTATTTAAAATGGCGGGAGGAGGGTAACCATGATACTCCTGGCACCACAGCAACTACAGTGAGCAGTAGTGGTTTTGGTGCTTGGTTTGAGGAAACACTCTAAGCACCAAAACCACTACATATTAACGTAGCAGCTTTGATGCATAGATCTTAGGCAATGTAAACAATGTAAAACATCCAAGAAACACCAATGTTTTCATTTGCCAGAGAACATGTCTCTAGTGCAGTGATGGCGAACCTTTTTGAGCCCGAGTGCCCAAACCGTAATACATGCCAATTTTTTTCCCTCAAAGTGCCAAAACGGCATTTAAACCTGAATACTGAGGTTTAAGTTTAGAAAAAACAACTCATACAGTTGTCCGAACTAATTAACATCTCTGTGTGTGTATTAAGCAGTTTGTGTGTGTGCTCGGCAGTCTGTCTGTATGTGTATTTAACAGTCTGTCTGTGTACTTAGCAGTGTGTCTGTATTTAGCAGACTGTTGAGTACACAGTCTGCTGAATACACACACAGACTGCTAAATACACACACACACAGACTGCTAAATACACACACACACACAGACAGACTGCTAAATACACACACACACACACAGACAGACTGCTGAGTGTACACACACAGACAGACTGCTGAGTGTACACACACAGACAGACTGCTGAGTGTACACACACTGCATTGAGGGGTACAGTGTATGTGTTTGTGTGTGGAGTGATGTGTGTGTGGGGTGGTGTGTTTGTGTGTGGGGGGTGGTGTGTGGGGGGGGTGATGTGTGTGTGTGTGTGTCTTTTTGTGGGGTGATATGTGTAGGGCAGGGGTGCTGTGTGTATGTCGTCCCCCCTCTCCCCCCTCTGTTTTCTTTTCCCCCATCCCTCCCTCAGTTTTCTCCCCCCATCTCTCCCTCAGTCTCCTTCTCCCTCCCCCCATCTCTCCCTCAGTCTCCTTCTCACTCCCCCCATCTCTCCCGCAGTCTCCTCCTCCCTCCCCCATCTCTCCGCGGTCTCCTCCTCCCTCCCCCATCTCTCCATGTCTCCTCCCCTACCCCCATCTCTCCGCGGTCTCCTTCTCCCTCCCCATCTCTCCCTCAGTCTCCTTCTCCCTCCCCATCTCTCCCTCAGTCTCCTTCTCCCTCCCCCCAGTCTCCTTCCCCATCTCTCCCGGTCTCCTTCCTCTCCCTCAGTCTCTCCCCCCATCTCTCCCTGGTCTCCTTCTCCCTCCCCATCTTTCCCTCAGTCTCCTTCTCCCTCCCCATCTCTCCCTCAGTCTCCCTCCCCCCCATCTCTCCTCGGTCTCCCTCCCCATCTCTCCCTCAGTCTCCTTCTCCCTCCCCCATCTCTCCCTCAGTCTCCTTCTCCCCTCCTCAGTCTCCTTCTCCCCCCTCAGACTCCTTCCCCCCTCCCCCAACTCTCCCTCAGTCTCCTTCCCCAGTCTTCTTCCCCCCCCTCCCATCTCTCCTCAGTCTCCTTGCCCCCTCCCCATCTCTCCTCAGTCTCCTTCCCCCCTCCCCATCTCTCCTCTCAGTCTCCTTCTCCCCCTCCCTCAGTCTCCTTCTCCCCCCCTCAGTCTCCTTCCCCCCCTCCCCATCTCTCCCTCAGTCTCCTTCCCCCCCTCCCCAATCTCTCCCTCAGTCTCCTACCTTGTAGCGTGGCCGAGTGCCGCGGAGCTCAGTTTCCTGTACCCGGCGGACAGGAAGTGCTCTCTGTGTGAGCACTTCGTTTCCGTCCGCCCGGGTTCAGGAAACCGCGGTGCGCTCGGCCACGCTACACAGAGTGCCTGGCAGGAGGGAGCGCTATGCGCTCACCTCCTGCCGGTCACTCCGGCTTTGCGCCCACCGGGCCGGTGAGCCCTAAGGCGGCCACTTGTGCCGCCTTATGGATGCGCCGGCGGAGTGCACGGCGACCTATGGCCGCGTGCCCACAGAGGGGGCGCGGCGTGCCACCTGTGGCACGCGTGCCATAGGTTCGCCACCACTGCTCTAGTGGCTCTCAGACATATAACCACTTCCTCTTAAAAGACTACCCAAGGCATCATAACAACTTCGTCAGAATGAAATTGGTATGTCGCAAGGAGGCCCGATTACTCTGCCCCTGAACTTACATTTGATACCTGAGTCTTTAATCCGGAAGCGTTTTACCTGCCACCATTGATGGACAGAGAGCATCAGTTGACTATCAGCAGCTACCCATTGAGAAAAGAGAGTGAAAAAACATACATTTTTCACTATCTTTTCTCAGTGAGGAACTACTGGTAGACATAATGATGAAGTTGTTATGATACACAGAGTGCCCCTTAAATATATTTAGTTTTCAAAGATATTTACATTTTTTATTATCATACATAACATGATGAAACCAAATGCCAGTAATGCTTCTCTTAGAAAACCTTGAAATGGTAAAACACTGCAATTGCCAAATGTCCTCAATGCTTCTCTATCAGAAACATTGGATCTGACAAAAAAATAACAAACTTGTTGATCTCACAAAATAAGTTGTGACTTCTGCACAGAATTACATGTAAATTAAAATATACATTCATATACGGTAATCTATCCAACTACCACCCTATCTCCATACTACCGTTTGCTTCCAAGATTCTTGAATCGGTTGTGTACTCAAGACTGACTGACTTCCTTGAATCCAACTCTTTGCTTGACCCGCTTCAGTCTGAATTCCACACTCATCACTCTGCCAAAACAGCTCTTTCTAGAGTATCCAATGATTTATTCGCTGCAAAATCTCGTGGTCCCTATTCTATCCTAATTCTCCTTGACCTTTCTACTGCTTTTGACACTGTTGATCATCAACAGTTTCTTCTCATCCTCCGTAATCTCGGTCTACGAGATACTGCTCTCTCCTGGTGTTCTTCCTGCCTCTCCCAATGCTCTTTCAGTGTTTCTTTCTCTGGCTCTGCATCTTTTCCCCAACCCCTCTCTGTTAGTGTTCCCCAAGGCTCTGTTCTTGGTCCTTTATTCTTTTCGATCTATACTGCCTCCCTGAATGACATGCAAATCTATCTGACATTTTCCAATCTCTCACTGTCCCTCTTGAATTGTGTCTCTGACTGCCTCTCTGCTATTTCTAACTGGCTGGCTGCTCACTTCCTTAAACTTAACCTGACCAAAACAGAATTTCTGGTCACTCCTCCCTTAAGTTTTGCTATTCCTGCATCTGTCTCGCTCCATGTCAATGGTGCTACCATCAGCTCTACCTTGCAAGCTCGATGCCTAGGTTTTCTCTTTCACTGCGACCTCTCCTTCACCCCTCATGTCTAGTCGATCACCAAATGCTGCTGCTTCCATCTTAAAAACCATTTGCCCCTATTTAACGCTGGATGCAGCTAGGGTGCTGTTCCATGCAGCTATCCTCTCTCTCCTTGACTACTCCAATCTGCTTCTCAGTGGTCTCACATATTCCCAACTTGCCCTGTTACAGTCTATAATGAATACTGCAGCGAGGCTCATCTTCCTGTCCGCCCGCATCTCCCACTCCTCCACCTTCTGTCAGTCCCTACATTGGCTACCCGTAAGATATAGGGCTCAATTTAAGATTCTGGTGCTTGCTTACAAATCTCTGCTGCTCCAACCTACCTATCCTCCCTAAAACACAAGTATGTCCTGTCCAGGCCCCTATGCTTTTGCTGAAGACCTACATCTGTTATCTATTCGTACTCCCACTTCTGATGCTCACCTTTCAGACCTCTCTTTTCTCTGTTAAACTTCCACTCAGTCTCCATTCCTTCAAAAATCATTGAAAACTCACTTCCTACCTCTTACTTTACCTACTTTTCTCACATACCCTTACCTTTTGTGTCACTATACCCTACTCCCTCTGGCATGTAAGCTCATCGAGCAGGACCCCTCAACCTCTCTGTTCCTGTGCGCGCAGCTCATCTGGTTACAAATACATGTTTGTTAGTCCACCCATTTTACAGCACTGCAGAATTTGTTGGCACTTTAAAATAATTTGATGTATGAGGGTATGGCAAAGTCACTTGTTAAAATTTTGCCTGTCTCCTAATTTTTGTCACTTGTGCCTACATTTTAAGTAAAGGTGTGTTTTATTTTTTTATTTTATTTTATTTTGAATCTGACTGCTACCATCATGCATAGACAGCCTCCATGCTTCTATTAGAGACACAGTGTTGCCATTCTACTCCGATAGCTGTCTGTTTGTGTAACACAGTAATGTTGTAGCATATTTGTCTATTAAAATAAAGCTGTACATTGCAAACAATTGGCCCATTACATTATGCACTTACACGCAGTACCATACATTCTAACATATTTTCCTTAGTTGAAGTGGCCATAGTCATGCCCAGTATGTGAAAACTTACTGTTTTGTCCCAGAAATGCAAATAACCATGCACACTCGAAAATGGAGTTGCTGAAAATGGAAGTCAGCAACTGTTAGGGAGCCGGCATGAGAAATAGGTGCTATCCGTCTGTTTACAGCACCATTTACTTTTGTGAATGAGACTTTACACAGCATTCGCCCGAGCCACATACTATACTTGCCCAACGCAAGCTGACTGTTTGACAGGTAAGCTAGGGATTTGCACAGCATGCACCCGCGCAGTTACGATCTGTGTGCAGACTCGGTCAGGGTACCTCTTTCCACCATTTTTGGTAAGTGGATAAAAAAAAAAAAACAGTTTGTCCCACCAAGACAAGTTGGATGTACAGAAATGGAAGATGTTTAGAAACCTGATCACCATAAATAATAGTTTAAATAAATCTCTTTTCAGGACTTACTTATATTTTTTAATTTATCATTAATTTAATGCATTCCTAACCTGAGGGTACACAATTAAATTTTGTTTGGCTCCAATGCATTCTACCTCCTGCTATTTTAAAATCATCCATGAAAAGAATTTAGCACATTCTACAGTGGAAATATTGTATTTTCGCAATCAGTACCTGGAAATATTCCTTGGGATTCTTTGTAAACTAATAAGTAATATGTTATTATGCAGGGCTCTGTGCATAATTCAATGTGGCGAAACAGCAGATTGTTTTATCAGCCAATATTTAAATATGTCAAAACAAACACCAGGGACTAAATAAAGATAAAATCATTTCAAGAAGGAGACTTGATAATTGAAATACAAGCAAATATCTGAGCTGGTGGATCTTTTATTCAGTCAGAGGCCCTTCTATCTTTACTAACAATGAATAATGTGGTTGCTACAGTGTCACAATGAAAATTATTTCTATGATGAAAATTCCTTAGAATCGTTAGAAAAAACTCTTGCTAGAATGTTAACTTGTTCAACCATCCATTATATTAATTCCATTTATTTTAAAAGACATTGAACTTTTGTGACAATATATGATTGAGAAGTAGTGAAAATGATCTGTATTAAGAGGGCATCAAACACAAAAAAATAAATAAAGATGGAACACTTCTCTGAAAGGGTACTACTACTTAGTTTGATCGTATGATTAAGTGCTAGAATGGCACAAAACCCGCAAAGCAGTGATGACTATTGGCTGCACCCTTTAGTTTGTTTAATATGAGATTTTTATTTTTTTTAAAGTTTTAAATATGTTTATTGTCATCAATATAAACACGGGTGTTGAACTTGGTATTATTAATGCATATAGTTGCCTACGCAGAGGCGTGCATATTGAAAGTGTACATAATGTGAGGCCGACATATTCCAGTCAGCTCAGAGTAACACATAGTTGCCTGCGCAGAGGCGTAGAAGTCAAAATAAACACGCAATGACAAATATTAGATATTCATAAGCCTTGCAAAGCTAGACATGCAGAAGGTGGTGAGCTTGCTTGGTACTGCGTTGTTAGGGCGTTGTTGTCAGGTATGTAGTGGCAATTAGGGGTGGCAGTTAGTAACATGTATTCAGCTATCAACTCATTAAATGGTGCTAGTGTGGCTCGTTAATGGGTGTTTTCATTAAGGTGCGTCTCGCACATTTTGCCGTTAGGTATGCGACATTTACTGATGTGTTTTAGGCACTCCCCTGCGGGGGTGTGGTCTTAGGTGCTCTGGGTATGGGATCCAGTCGTTGAGTCAGCGGTTTTAAGCAGTGTAGCACTAATGTCATGTATCCTTGCGTGTGATGTGTCACGGCCCTTGTCCGTGAACTTTAGCTCTTACGGGTACCATAGATGTACATTCCACACTTTATATTTAACTGACGACTTCCTTATTTGGGGAGTGCACTGTGGGTGACATATGTTAATAATACACTGTTTTCTTCTGAGATGCCTGTGTTTGCGTATTTATCCCTGTTGCCATAAACTGCAGTGAAGGCCCATCTTGCGAAAATGAGTTAGTGTTTGTGCGCTCTGGCCTTTTGTCTGCAGCCCTGAGTTCTAGTTTGTCTCGTGACTACCAGCTCGTGTATATTGGGGTTGTATTTGTTTTGTACGTTTCGTGTCCTTCCCCTCCTTAATATGAGATTTTAATGAGCCTTGGAAGTTTTTTTTTTTTTTGTTTACTTTTACCTTTTTTATATGTACCATTCTGTGCTCCGGTAGTTAGGCAATAAGTTGGACCTGAACGGAAAATTGGAGGTGGTGAGGAGAGAGAGCCTTAGGTGACTGTGTGACCATACAAATTGGCATGTTAACTGGGGGTGGTGGGGTTTTTTATTTGGGAGGAAAAAATAAGTGTTTCTATGAATGATAATGCCACTTTAAATGGACACTATAGTCACCTGAACAACTTCAGCTTAATGAGCTTGTTCAGGTGAGAACTACAGCTCCCTGCAGCCTTTCTCATGTAAATACTGTAATTTCTGAAAAAATACAGTGTTTACATTGAAAGCTAGGAACACCTCCAGTTGCAGTCACTCACAGTGAACCAGAGGGACTTCGGAGTTGATGGAAGCATAATATGCCTCCATCCACTCAGATCTGCTGTGCACGAGTATCCTGTGATTCAGTATCTCCTCCCTCTGCATGCAGACACTGAACTTTCCTCATAAAGATTCATTGATTCATTTCATCTCTATGAGGAGATGCTGATTGGCCAGGGCTGTGTTTGAATCATGCTGGCTCTGCCCCTGATCTGCCTCTTTGTCAGTCTCAGCTAATCCTATGGGGAAGCATTGTGATTGGATCAGGCTACAACATCTGATGATGTCAGCAGACTGTTTTTTTTTTTTTTATGCAAACAGCATGCAGAGTTACAGTTTCTGGCTTGAATACAGTAAGATTTTCAATATATTAATTAGGCATGAGGGGCCCTGGGGGGGCTAGAGAGTAGTGTTAACACTATAGGGTCAGGAATACTTGTAGTTGCACTGTTGACTATAGTGTCCCTTTAAATATAGCTTTTGTAGGGAGTGCACATGGAAGACGCTTCAGGAATATGTTGAGATAGGGGTCGCTGCATTTTAGTTTTGAGTCTCCGAAATCTCCATAAAGATTTTACTTATGTACAATTTTAATATTTTATTGTCACCTAAAAAAACTTTGCACATGATAAACCATATATTTCTATAATTTATAAAGGAACACTTAATTACTACAGCTTATTGTAGTGATTATGGTGCAAGAAGCCTACGAGTGCCAAGCCTTTGTCTCGAAGTGACGAATTTCACCCCCCAATAGTCATACAAATTTTTGGATGGCACAAGCTCTCATTATGTGCTTACAACTAGGCTGAAAGCTAGTTTATACTTGTGCTTCAAATCACACAAGCCCGTTTTGTGCCGCCACATCACCTCTGACTGAAGAACAAAAACCAGAAGACCTTCACTAGTAGCCTCATTGCACCATAGCCGCTGCAATAAGCTGCTGTTGGCTACGGTGCTAATATATTACGTGCAAAGGTGGCAGCATAATCACTTTTTTGTGTCTTTTGTGAATATGCATGAAGGAAGCATGTGAGAACGGATAAGATAGAAGAACTGCTTCTGAAAATACAGATAAGATAGAAGAACCTTTATGTTAATTTGTGGGGTCTAGTCGCACAACATGCTGATTATGAAAAATGTCACGTCAGCCAGTTTAAATGCTCTGCTTTATGTAATGTCTATTTATTAGTGCCAATAATACGAAAAATATGGATAAGTGCACAAAAAACTTCATGCTGATTGAGGCATGCTGGTACAGGACATAAGCTACCTCCACTATGTTTTTATGCCTAGAATTGAAATATATGCTGCAGCTTTTCGATCTCACTGTTTCCAAGGTCCATTCTGATGTGTAGCTTCAGGGAGATGTTTTAAAATGTAACTTGTATATTGTAATTGAGAAAGATGTACGTACCTGATAGGTGTTTATTCTATAAATCTTCAGATTAGATAACTCACATGACTGCAGCTGCAGCCATAAATATGATTTCTGATGTCTTGACCATTTGGGCTTCCGAGAACCATTAAGTGGGAGTAATACAATCGTCTAGACTCCAGGACGAACTTGAAAACTATTAAAAAGCTACTTGAATCTTCCCTGATTAAATACTTTGGTATTATTACATGCTATATGTGTTTATCACAGAGTGCAACGGTAGTAAAACTCACAGTGATCTGCAGTGTTTATACTTGTTTTGGCGGAACTCCAGTGTGTAATGTAAATGGGAATATCATAGAGCTCTAGAGCAAAAAATACTCTCTGATGTACAGTGTAGATCAATTTACAATACAATACCACATCAATCATACTCACAGGAATGTGCACAGTATGTATTACTCACAGTAATGTTCAGCAGTTCTAGTTTTATCGGAGGACTCCACAGCAGTAAAATATTCATATTTTTTCAAAACACCACGGAGGGAAGGGAACCATAGTTCTCCTGATCTTCATGGCAACTTCAAGTGTCAGTTCTGTTGTACAATCTAGGAGTCTGCGAGGCCGAATCCAATCTGCGGGCTGTATGTTTGAAACTTGCACTATATTGTGAAGCTAGTGTTTGCCTGTTGTATTTTGCATTGTGAAAACATTGGACTTTTTATTATTATTATTATTTTTTTTTAATACCTTACTTTTGCAATGACAGAAGTTGCAGGATATCATTATACAAGGCAGAAAATACAGACAAATGGATCAGCGCTGTTCAACCAAACCAAAAAAAAAATTAAAATATTGAATAGGTAGGCAGCACACCTTAGAATGTAGAATCTCCCTCTTGGCCCTACACACAAAATACAATAGTAAAAAGGATAGGGAAAGAAAGTTGCTCCAAATCAATATGACTCTGATACAGGTAGGCAACACGGAAAACTGATTCAACAGGATATAGTAAATATGTAAAACAGAATGATGGAAATATAAAAAAACAAAGGAAATTAATATAGAAATATCCAGTATAGATTCCAAAAGAATACAAATATAAACTTGCAGAAGAAACAACTGTGATGTTTTTCAAAGAGTTTTCTTTCACTGGGAAGTCAAGGTCGGAAGAATTCTTGGAATTCGGATATAAAAAAGAGAGACCAATAGTGTAATATCCCAGAAAATGGTGTATGATAAAAAGTGTATATGGTCCTACTCACTTTTTTTTTTTTTTTTGGAGCTTTAAACAGGTCTAGTATGGATGGCGTACAGTGATACAATCCACACTTATAGGATACATGGGAAGTTGATAGTTGTCTCAATGATATGAAGACCATAAAAAAATAATAAAAAGGAACAACAATAGTGCTCACTGTATTTTAAAACATCAGGAGTATAGAAATATAAATTTGTACTCACATTTGGTTGAGCAGGCGAACTGTTCAATGGATAGCGCTTGAGTAGTATAATCCGCACCTTGGATTTTTTAGAGTAGTCCTCACTGGATCAAATAAAATCGGATGCCAGGCAGTAGAGAAGAGAAAGTATAAAATAATGATAAAGAGTAAAATGGCACACTCACGGTATAAAAGTGTCCAAAATACCTTTATTAACAATATTATAATATCCCAGTGGATATTTTAATATTGTTAATAAAGGTATTTTGAACACTGGTTTGAAAAAGTCAAACAAGAAAAACAACAAATAACTTTCAAAATATGACATCACATCACAGAATTGCATTGCTGAGATATATCGGAATTGTTTGGGTCGTAAGCCTAAGCCACACCGTTAAATCTGCCTCGCTGCTTCGTCTAAAATAGGAGACGGGAAGCTCGGTGTCTCTCTTTCTTTCCGGGGGCCCCGCCCACAAGCACCCCCAAGAGTCCACCGACCAGGGCTCCTTTATGGGCTACGAGCCGTGGCCCCAGCCGGTGTCCCCAGGAGAGAGGCGGGCACCACCTGCCTCTCTGATGACAAACTCCACAACTGAGTGCTATCCATTGTCATCCAAAAGGAAAACTGGTGCATTCAACAGACTACATTTTAGTGTTGATTGTTGTATCAACCATCTCCGATGGTGCGGCTTGTTGTTACTCTGAGAGATTAATATACAATACAAATTAAAAGCTCAGTGGACTTCTTTTTTGTTGTCTAGTCTGGGACATTCTGGTTGATATGTAGCCAGATGTATTGTGCCATGTAGCCACCAGCAATTTAATTGGAAGCTCTATATGGGCAGAATGAAGGCTGGATTTCAAATGATGTATCACATGCACTTGAATGAGTCAAGAGATTAAAAGTGGGTATCATACAATACCACTAGACACCATGGTCATTTTACATCATTTGTCCATATACCACAAAATGAATATTTGTCCATATACCACAAAAGCCCAGAGTAATGTTCTTTTGGATGTGGAGAATTGAGAGCTTATTTACTTGTCACTTATTCATGTCTCTGACAAAGTAATGACACCCCATATTTGAAAACAGTGCAATGCCATGGCAATCGCCTGATGATTCTAATTATTCAAGTGTCTTATTTGCCCAAGAGTTGACCTATAGGCTAGCAAAAAGAAGTGGTACTTTAACAATCTCTGGAAAATTAACTTCTGAATGAAATTCTCTAGTTTGTTATATCTGTGTGTGATTGAGAAACCCATAATTGGATCACAGTTGGTGTTCCATACTGCCACACAGCGATTTAGGTCACATCCAAAATGACAAAATTGGGCAGAGAGGGAGCATGGCAAGCGTGAAGAATAAGAACAGCAAAGATCTTTTAGAAAATTACGTATTTTCTTTCGTATATTTTAATCCACTAAGCAGGCGGCTCCAGCCTTTTTCAACATTGTATCATTTTAGCTAATATTCATTTAACAAAGACCATCTGGCAGTGAAAATGCAATTTGTACTAATTGTGTAAATATTTGGCTTTGAAAGTTGTGGTGTTTTCCAATTGTGTAGCCCAGCATTAATCGTGGTAACGTATGGCTTACTGTCAGTGTGCATTATGTTTCTTTAATGTCTCTAAACACTCATTTTAGCATTGCAACATTAATCTATATTTAGATATATTCCACATTTCAGCAAGCTCAACACGCATTGTTTCTAATATGACAAGCAGGAGACTGCAAACTGAAATGCATAGTTGTAACTTGGTAACTGCACATTAAATCTACAATCATTTATAGGCAGCATTACAATTAGCAAGTTTATACTGGTCAGTGTGTATTCTTTATATATCTCATTTAATAAGTGTAGCATGCATGCTAATGATTATAGACCTGCAATCTCTTATTCTCTTCCCTCCCTTAATGACAGCTATTGTTAGATTACCCTAATATTTTGTTTTTACGTTACGCCTGTAAAGCACATTTAACATTGTGGCACTATATATTAAACATAATATTCATAATATTTAGTATATACATTGTGCTAGCAATATGGCCGAGTAATGTATAGGTAGCATTTTATAATAAGAAATTCTATTATAGTTCTGCTGTTGACATTGATGTATGATGGATACAGAACACTGCACATATTTCTATGCTCCCGTGAGTGCAGTACACTGCACATATTTCCATGCATCCCACTATGACAATACAGACTTTTGGAGCAGCCTCTTCTCCAGGTGTATTGTCCTGAAGGGATCGTCGCCGAGACCAGGGTCAAGTAAGCAACTATATCTCCCCCAAGATGCTAGTCTCAGTAGGGGAATCTCTATGAAGTGAGGCTAAAAGGGTGTTGGTCGGGTTGTGACCAGGGCCTGTATTGGCACAGAACTGTCTGCCCATTGGAGCAGGTATTGTCCCATCTGTGCGGCCTGGAAACCTGGGTAGGTACTCGCCAGTCTACACAATGGAGATAGTCCCTAGAAGGCAGATATCGAGCCCTCTGCCTCGGTGGCTGTGGACACTGCCTTTACATAGGCACTCACGGGCCAAGTGATTAGCTCAGTGCTGGTAGATTCAAGGAAGCTGCTGCAACTCTCCTAAGGAAGAGGCACCAAACCCTGGGGAAGACTTCCCCCTCAAGGGTCCCTGGTAACAGTTAATAATGCAGCCATGTCTGAAAATTCTGCTACTAATGTCCCTGAATAAACCTGACAGGATACACAGCCCTCAAAAGAACCACCACCTAGAACTTTATTTACATTCAGGACTAGCCCCTACTGACTTTTCCTTAAACATGTGGTGAAAAGAATTCAAACCCAAATATACATAACCTTGAAGAACAAGCAATCATAATTATTAAACCGAGTATATAATACAAATAACACTTTTGGACACAAGAAAGAGTAAACATATGTACATATAATTGCTTATTTGGTTGCACTTATTTGCATACCACCATTATGTAAATTGACACATTTCCATGCGATCAACAGAGGGCACTGCAGAGTTACCACATTAACAATGCATAATTGGTAAAACAACTGTGGGTATCACACCCACAATATCTGTCATGTCACCACATCCTTGGCATTTGTCTAGGAGCACTGAGACATGCGCAGCCCACTGTGAAGGCCCCAAAGATTTGATAAAAATACAGGGATACATTTTTCCTATAAGTATAATAGGAATAACGTAAAAGTCGCTTTCATATCTGATCAGCAGGTGCTAACTGTGTCATAAGTTGTCGCACCCCCAACCAGGAAGCCTTTTGGGAATAGCCACTGATGATTTAACAAGCAGAAAGGCCTAATACATGCTCAGACAGTGCCGGTAATAAAATTCGGGATGACCTGACAGGACCCTAAAATTTGGGCTATCCCATTTATATCGGGACATTTGGTGTATCTGTTTACCAAGAATGAGTACATTCAAGGTTGTTTGATTTAAACTAATGTGATTTAAGTAATTCAATTTTTTTTAAATTATTTTTTATATTTATATTTAAAAATAAATTATAATTGTAATAAGCTGATACAGTTGTAATTAAACTAAGAAGGCTAATAAATAGTAGATAAAAATGCAGAGAGTAGTATGGACTTCATCTACAGTTTCTGACAAGGTGGTTGCCTGCTCCTTCTGACATATAAGAGGAAATAGAACCAACATATAATTTAGTAGATTATGTTTTTTGTTTTTTTTTATTCTTTATTTAGCATTGACATAATAAATTGACATGCTCAAAGTATTTAACCATATAGTTGAGTACAATGTGAATATTAACATTTTGTTGGTTGCCATTAAACATCGTCTTTAAATAGCATAGATGACATATGACATCACAGGGTGGTATATACTTATGTCTAGCTCTCTGGTCATCGATCCCAAGTGAATGTTGATTTTTATTATTATTTAAACACAATAGTAACAAAAGTAAAGGAGTATGTACATCTCACACCTCTGGCTCTAGGCAATTTTTAGGTGCTGTCTATAATCGTTTTATTACCCTATTCCTGTCTCTTTCTAGAGTAGTTTGTTACCAGAGTTGGTAGGCCTTCCGTCCGTCCACACGCCCAACAAAGTTCTCTGCTTGTTGCTTAGGTACTTGCTAGAACCCAACCCCATGGACCTACAGACACATGGGGTCCAGGGGCCCGGAAGCGGTCTCTATTATCCCAAGAGCAGAGTTATCGGGTTTTGTTGTAGTTATCGAGTATTAACAGCTTACTCCAGGAGATATTGGGAGAGACTGGAGATATACAGAGAAAGGATGAATAGGAAACGTAAGAAGAGAAAGAGCGAGGGAGCAAGGCCGGGGGGGAGGGGAGAGGAAAGGCGCGTGTCCCGCACCTGCTATGTTCCCAGGGGGCAGCTTTCCCAAGGTTCCCATATTCTTTGAAAGGTCTTTTGGGTTCTCCTCACCCTGGCCGTTAGGTCGTCCATTAGGTGAATGTAGATTATGTTCTTAACTGGGACTCCACTACACATGGGACTTAATCCTTATGAAGTTCTTCATCGACATGCACAGTATGTAACTTATGTTCGTGTATTTTGTAAAAAAAAAACAAAAAAACCTAATGCCAGTGGGAAAGTATTTAGGGCAAACTGGAAATATTGTGAAAAAGAGCTCTAGGGGATTCTGTTCAGGTTGAAAGTTCATTGTGACACTGAGAACAAGTTTGAAATATTATGAAGCAGAGGATGTTAGTAAGTGGATTGAACTTATGAATAGAGAGCTGAGAGCAGAAGACCTGCCTGTGTTAGGTCTTTTTCTGCTCTCCCTTGTTAGTCAAGTCTTCGATATGCCAAAGAATTGAATTCTCGGTGGCAGAAAGACCTATTTTTAAAGGTCTTTTAAATAGGTTTTTCTCCCAACGTATTCATTTGCTGGCAAGTCAACTGGCATAATGTATAGATGAAATTTGATGGTTTTTGAAAAGAGCATATGTCTTGGGTAGTATGACAGGGACCCGTTAATGCGACTCTTAACAAAGTTTAATGGAACTATGAGTAAATGATCTAATTTATTTATTTATGTTTTCCCCTAACGAGCCCCAACCATAGTTTAGCATTCCATTTTTTGTACATTTATCCTCTAGTCCCAAGTACATATAGGGTATACAAAGTTAATGTTTGCTAAGTTTGCTACACTTGTACAATTAATGTTTCTTTTACTATGACATTTTAAAATAAACAATAACATTTTGAATGCAATGTATTTCTTGTCTCACTTTTTGGGAAATCTTAAAAACACAACTACAGGCATACCCCACTTTACATACACTCACTTTAAGTACACTCGCAAGTACAGACATTCCCGTGCCTCTTCTGTCCACGAGTAAAGAGGAAATGGAAGGTTCTATTCTCGCCTGGAACAGCTCAGCTCAGTTCAGTGTCTTTGGGGCAAGAACTTTTCACACCTCACTGTAAATCTGCAGTTGCACTATCATTTATGCCTGTAAATGACTATTGCAATGCGGTACATGCATTGGGAAGTGATAAAAGGTATTGCTTCACTTTAAATACATTTTCGTTTTACATACATGCTCTGGTCCCATTGTGTACTTAAAAGCGGGGTATGCCTGTACTCTCTTGAGGATGTGCATTTCACAAGCAATTTGAATTTGTTGGGGAGAAAAATAAGATTTGATTTAAAACAAAATGTCAAATTAAAAAACTAAATTGCAATTTGTCCTCCCTACTTCCCAACTCCAAGTACATTTAACTTTCACTAGTTTTGATGTATATCTCCACCACGGTCTGCTTGCTCTATATTGCTGCCACAGAGCTGGCCCAGCGGTACATTTTTGCTGTGACTTAGTAAAGGCACACAAAGAGTGACTCTCCCTGCATCTCTTTCAATGAGAGTCAAGATTCAACTCACCAGCACTGCAGGAGTCAAGGGAGGGAGGAAATGCTGGTGCCTTTGCGCAGCCTGGCACACTGAGGGACACCCAATCAGGGCTTTGGAAGGCATATGATCCTGGTCCTGTTGGCTTATAGTATGATCAGGGGTGTTTGATTGGAGCTCAGGGGTTGGAATTATGGGATTGGGGGCAATATGGTTAATGTGATTGGTGGTAGTGGGTTATGGGGTTAATGTTATTGGAGGTACACAGGGGATTTTAGGGTTAATGTGATTGTTGATGTGTGTGCGTGCACTTTCTGTGCACTAACCTATACGGGAGTGAGAAGAGGGCTCCTTGCCAATCTGTGTGAATAGACATCTGGTTGGAGTGTGTTATTACTCCTTATACACATTTCTGTACTGACACACTACACACAAATACATTGTTGTATTGACACAAATACACTACTACATTCACACACTTCACACAAATACAACCGTGCATTCATACGCGCTAATCTTATACACAAATTCACATAAACACAGGCACGCCTTATGTATGTGCATGCTTTCTTTATTTTAGAGCTGCATGAAAGCTTTAGCTTGTAACTGTTTTTTGTTTTTTTTTAACACATCACAGATAACTTTGTTACCTTGAACAATTTAGCTGCTAAATACAAATTGCATATATTGTTGTAAACCTTTGGGTGCTGGTGTTTTCTGAGATCACAGTAGATGGAAATGTTTTAGAGCTTGTGATTTTGTACCATTTTATATTCAGAAAAAGATATCTTCTTTGGAATGTAAGAGACCTTTCACATTGTTGCCATTTAAATACGTTTTAAATATTCCTCTTGACTCAGACAAATTATAGATTTTAGAAATGGACTCTGAAATTAAGGGTTGAATTAAATATTGACCCAACATTCTGAAAATATAGCCTTGTAAATATAATTTGTTTTATTTTTTCCTGCAGATTGACCCAACCTTGGAAAAAATAATCAACAAGAACCCAGTTTCTCTGGAATCAGAGTATGAGGTAAACATTTTATTTGTTTCATTTATTTATTATTATTTTTTTTTTTAACTTTTACTTTTTTTTGCAACAGACAGGTCTTCTCTTTCATGCCACAGAGTAGGGCAGCTGGGTGTGTCAGTGTCTTCCTAAATATAGACAAAATATCCCAGGACAGTCAGTTTACCACTTTCTCATCTGAATAAAAACTTGATCGTGCTGCAGTTTTTCTCAATAAATCTGTTCTGTGATCAGCAGAATGCAATGTAAAGGCCACCCATATCCCAGGCCACCCATCTCTGTGAGGAGATGCTGATTGGTGCGATGAAGCGCAGCGTTTTGCCACACATGCGCAATAGCCTCCCAATGCTTTCCTATGGAAATTAAATTGGCGTTGACTGAGATCATCCAGTTGTCAGCCAAAGTGAAGGGCACACTCTTGTTACTTCAAAATGAGCAAGACAACGTCATTTTTTCACTGCTGTGCAATAACACACATTCACAATTTCAGCCCAATTACGAAACTTTCCTTAATATATCAAGGTAGTCGGACTGAAACATGGATTATATGCACGTCTGCTTACAATAAATCTGCTCTCTTGTTTCTTTTGAAGCCCTATAAGTGCTTTCTTTCATGTTCGAGTGATAGTTTTCAGTTTTTGTTGTTTTCCCCGCTTCCATATCCGCACACTATGCTGGCACGGTGCATTATAGGGCTGGTATAGAATTTTTTTCAAGGGCTGCTTTTCATTCCCAGTCCGGCCCTGCACGCATTGAGTGTTCTTCTGCATTTACGTCCCAGAGCTTATACAAGAATACATGAAGCTTACATTTTTAATTCACCCTGCTTTCATTTGCATTGGCTAAACAGACTTTTGCATGTTTATCTGGGCTTTATTTAGGAACACAATTGCTCTCACTGATAAAAGTAGGATAGAAGCCAGGCAATAATACACATTTTGGCAGTATTTCATTTTAGCTCTGTATAATTTGTCGTGGGTTCTTTTTTTGGGGGGTCTTTTATCAATTATCCATTATATGTATTTTTTTAAAACTGTGTTGCCATGATATGCATTAAACCAGTGACTGTATAGTGAGACTCTCAGGGATATTTACTCTCAGGTCAATGGTGCCAGTAAGAGCAAAGCTGCCGTAATACTGCTAGAAATATAGCAAGCAAATGTTAGTGGCTAAACTGCTTAATGAGTTTCTGTCAAAAAGTGTTTTCTCAACAGCTCAAATATAAAAAGATTGGTACAATTGTATTATAGTTAATCAAGAATGAATACAATTAAAATTAGAAAGGGAGCAGCATCAAAACACCAACAAGCGACTAAATTGAGTTATTAACTCACAATAAACATAAGGTGTGTGCGCTCCCAAAAAATCTCAAACTAAGAAATTAAATATATAGATATAAATCTTTTAATAAACATCCAAAAATAAATTACAATAATTTAAAGGCTGTTTCACAATCTCCCTATTGGTTATACCCTAAAAACACACAAAGTAACAACAAAGTATAAAAACATAAAATAAATACTGAGCACAGTATCCATATGCAACAAAGTTGCTATATATAATTGGCTTAGAATATATCTAAAATATACAAGAGCCTCAGTAATATGGATAATGTGCAAAGGAAAACAAATACAGCAAAATATTAAATAAAAATATAGTAAGTAAGTAATATAAAGTATAGTAAGTAATATAAAACAAATAAACATACAAAATATAAATAAGTATGGGCTTTAAAAGGCAGGACTAGCTACATCAGGATGTGATCTGAGGAAGCCGATTGGGCGAAACGCGTCATCACGTCGATTACGTCATCACGCCATCACGTGACCGGACGAAACTCCGAGTTCCAGGAAGTGAAGCCTACAATACCGAAAGTCACCAGGGACTGGTAGATATATACTATACAGTACTGGCAAAAGGTTATTTGGCTGCTATATGGAAACTGAGAGTGTGGATTCTACTTATTTTCAATAAAGCTGTTTTTAATTTTGGAAGCTGGTGTCCTGCCTATTTACACCAACATTGAAGTCCTGGTTTTTGGATTTAAAGCTGGATCAGTTAGAGCAGGCTTTTACTGCTCTCCTTTTGTGAGTGATATTCCTAATTATATTTGCTGGTTTTTATATTTATGTAAAACAATATTATACTATGTTTCTCCATTTTTTATCCCTTTTTACATATGTTCTTATGTGATTTGGAGAATTTAAGGAGACATATATTTCCCTTGTAAGTTATTTGTTTTGGATATTGAATTTTTACACTATCACATTTGCATTTTGCACTTATGTCACATTGTATGTGATTATATACACACTCTGTGTTTTTGCACAAAATATTTGCACATATTATTGCACATTTGCACTTTTTAACATTTAAAGATACAGCGCACCTATTTTTATTGTTTGAATAAATAAATAGTACCTAACCTCAGTGTGGGCCCCCACCAGAGGTAGAAATAAAATCCAAAAAAGGGGTAACCGAAAAAAGAGAGACCCCCAGATGACACCAAAGAAAGGGCAAAGGCAAATGCACTGTATTACCGCGGTCGGAATCTTCGAAAAAAGACCGCGGTGTTAATTAAATACAAAAAAAAACCCTCTTTTCTCAACAGCTTCAATTTTGGTAATCGGTTCTTAATTTTGTCACATATTAGTGAAATGACAAATGAAGAGCCAAATAATGAGAAATTAAAAAAAAAATGATAAAGTGATATCCAGTCGATATTTTTTATTAAATATACATCATAAAATAGAAAAAAATATATATATTTTTTTTTCTTGTGCAATAGTACATAGCTACATAGGCTGAAAAGAGACATGTGTCCATCAAGTTAAGCCTTTCTCACATCAGTTTTTTTGTTGTTGATTCAAAATATTACTATAATAATTGCTTCAACGGGCTGTGGAAGAGGTGTTTAGTTGATCTGTGTACAGAGGGATTTATAAATATAGCCAGCATTCTAAGTTGTGATCTGTACAAATTACAGACTGAAATGTTCATTATCGTAAAACATCACCCCGCCAACTGAACACCCCCTCTGGTAGCTACTCAGATGTTGGACCCCTCTGTAGTACTGATTAGTGTACTAAGGAGGAAGGAACATTATAAAGTTAAGCCCATCCACTGACTTCTTCACTCTCATTACTGGGAAATGCAGTGAGCGCCAACAGTGATGTGCTGCTTATTCGGTTTGCTAGCGCCATGTTGACCAAACAGCATGAGCTTACTGGCACTAATCAATCATACAGTGCTAATTAGTGGGGGTTTTGTAAGATAACCAGCATTTTGTTTGTGACTTGTGTGGATGACAAGCTAAAGTACTGTGATGTTCTACAGTTGCTGAGGTATATGATTCTCCTAGAATGCTAATTAATTATTCTCTAGATTCTGAAATCAGATGCTAGTTTAACTTTTCTCAAATAGTCTCTGTCTAGCTTTATGAATTTGCTAGACCAGAGGGACAGAAACACCACCACTCGTCTCACATAGCTATGAGTAACTCTTTATTCTATTTAAGAAGCCTAGGTTTGAAAATAAAATCAAAGCTACATCTATCTGGAACCACGGTAACCTTTACAATGTTTATCATCGCCACCACATTCTGTATTTAGTTGGCAAAGTGTCCATTTACTGAGGACTAGGTTTCAACAGAGAGCCCAGGCTCACTGTGTCCATCATAGGTTTGGAAGATCAGCAATTTCAGTGTACCTTAGGGCCAAATGTGAGAGGGGGAGCCTTCAAATGGAGACCATCATACCCTTGTTCAGTGGGACAGCACTGATTTAAAACGAAAATGGCTGAAGGTAATGTTGATAGCTGTTCTCTGTATGTCCAGCTGACTGGGTTTGCGCATCCCCCACTTTGTTATGGAATGCGACCTTACCTAAGTCTGCCTCTATTTTATCTTTTTAATCTTTATTTTTTTATTTATAAAGCGGATTTATTTGTGCTGTTGTTAGTAAAAGTGATCCCTAAGGTGGGGACCATAAATTTACAGAGTCGCTTTAAGAGGTTGGTAATTTTGCACTACATGAACCACTTATAAGACATGCAGAGCCCCAATGTGAGGATTATTGGATTAAAGGGGTACTATAGTCACCAGAACCATTACTGCTTAATGTAGCAGATTTGGGGCTTTTAACATGTCCCTGCAGGTCAGCTGAGAAAATGCAGTGTTTACACTGCTGCCCACTGCTGAACATCCACGAGAGACATCTTAAACGAGGCTCATAATCTTTGTTCCTTTAAGGCGGCAGTAATTTGGCAATACTAATAAACTGGGGTAGCTATGGATCTTGAGATAGTGAGATTCTGTTTGAGGCTAGAGTTATTTAATAGACACATATTATGTACTGGGAATAGGAAGGCAACCACTTTCTAAACCGCTTATGTAGAATATAACTCCAATCAACCTGATCCAGTGTTTTGGTTTTTTTATAATCAGATTAATAGACTCATTAAAATTAATACTTAGAAAATGGCACTTGAACTAATACAACCATAACTCAGTTTGTTTATGTGAGTTGCTAAATATCTCTAAAACCACCCATCTCTGTGAGAAGCTTTGAACTAAAGATTTGTCCTCAAAGCTTCTATGAAAAACGTTGGCTTGGACAATACCTAGCACTAACAGGGAAGTAAGTGTTAGGCAAAAAAGGGGTGGATCTTTTTTAAATTTTTTTTAAATATAATATTGTTTTCATAATTATTTATTTTGTAAGAATTTTCATGAATAGACCGATAATTGCATTTTTGGACCTCAAATTTCCCTTTTAATGCAGGTGCCCAAGGACAAACATGCACAGTGAGAGATGCGATTAGGTTCAGTGTAATCTGTGAACTCAGAAGCAGTCAGTAAGATCTCTTGATGCTCATCTAGTGAAATGCTGCGTAGACCTCACAATCCCCAGGCAGTAAATCAAATCAAGATTTGCATCACTGATTCCAGGATAAAAAAGAGGGGTTTGATAATTGTTTATCTCCCTTCTTTCTCTTTGCCAGATATGGTGAATTTATTTGATAATCAGGCTTTTTTTACTATGTTGGCAAGAGATATGTATTGCATATTCTTATCTAAATTATGAGGTTAAAATCAAATTTTTGACATGGAACCAGTCCATAGATTTTCTTTAAACATTAAAGTCACCCAGACCACTTCAATTCAGTGGCCCGCGTAGATTTAATCCTGCAAGGTAAAACATTTCCCTTTTTGTAGAAACCACAGTATTTACATTGCAGGGTTAAATACACCTCAAGCGGCTGTCTTCCTGACCGCCACTACAGGCTCATCCTCCAGAACAGAGTCAATCGATCCTACAATTAAATGCTACTAATGCTACAGCGTTTGGCTGTGTACGCACTGATCAGTCCATGGTTTTTCTTCTGTCTACGTTTTTTGCAGTAGAAAATGTTCAATCTGGTATGAGGATTATATGTCAAGTAATTCAAAACCTATCTCTGCAGACTGACCAAATTTCATCAAAATGATTATGCTTTGGGGGGGGGGGGGCGGCTGACACCCAAGATGGCTGGACTTGCCACTTGTTAGCTCCTGCTGATTTTGGCCTAAAATCAGCTTACACAGCCTGAAACCTTGGCCACTGGTGCCCGATGCTAAATGCAGATCGACAACTAGGCAAACTACGCTGACAAACACCCGGATCACACCAAATCTCTATACATACTCACCTCGTCCGTCTCTGCGGCCTACTGGGGGTGCCTGTCCTACAGCTAGGGGAAGCGGACGATCTCCTGGGCTGGGGGCAGTACCACATCACAGCTTGTTGCTGACCTCCCCCACCCCCTGGACCAGTGTGGGCTATCCCAGTCCCCACTGAGGATGCTAACATCTCCACCGGCCTTAAATAGAGTTCCGTTGAAGATGGCATGGCGGAGTCAAGATGGCCGCCGCACATACATCTCACCAAGTGAGCAGGCTCTGGAAGCCGGGAATAGAGAGAGCAATTTAAGGCAAAGTTCGAAGCACTCTGCCAGGTGTTCTGGTGCTGCATCGGCAGCACTCCTAGCAAGCCTGCTAAGCTAACAGACATGCTACAGCAAGCAACCGTGGCAGACCACCACCCTCCTTCAGGGTCCGATGCCCGTCAGGCACTCACTCCTCCTGCCGCTCCAACGCTAACCCAGCTCCCCACTCTTCTTCTTGGCCGGGGGTCTGAATGGAGTGATATCCAGCCTCTATGAGAAGACAGATCAATGGACATGGGGCATTAGCCCCCACCAAGGCTCGGAGCTGTAGTCGCGGGGAAACCAAGACAGAAGACATACCCCACCTAATGAAGTATGTTACCAGGCAGATTCGGCACAGTAGTTAGGTGGAGGGGTCACATAGCGTTCCTGACGAGACACTGAATGGCAAAATTTGCCCTGCTTGTGGCATAGTGTCTTCTATCACAGCGACACCTCAACACATGATATGCTCTAACTTCTATTGCTGAAAGTTTTGCTTAACCCCTTAAGGACACAACTTCTGGAATAACATGGAATCATGACGTAATATTTCTGTCACGTGTCCTTAAGGGGTTAAAATGTGTGCTTTATGCTTTAATTTTATTTGCCTCATGATCTACCTCTCACTGTTTTCAACCCATTGGTATTAACACTCAATCACATTGTCCGTTAGAGCAGCCTGTTGATTTATTCTATTCTCTCTTCCCTGACAAGTTTTCTCATTTAGTTTCTTATTATAAAAAGTGCAGTGTTTTGACATCTCTCAACCTCACTATGCCTATACATTCTTGTATACATTCCTGTGGAATGTCACCAAATGCCTGTCTGTTATACCTTGCACTGATAAAATAAAGAATGTTAAAAACAAAATAATTTGTAACCCACCCCATCAGACTTTTGTTAGCTCAGAGTAATATTTATTTAACTACAAACAGCACAATGTTTTTCAACTCAATAGCACCCCTTTCTTCGTACTCCCCTCCCCCTTTTTCACAATGCATGTCTTCTTGAATCACTTGCTATTGTTTGATGCCAGAACTCTTGCTACAAGCTCATATTAGATCTTATTCAGCTAGAGAAGCTTTAGAGAGCCCTTGGCCAGAAAACCAAATCTGCCACATACAGTTTGTTACACACCTATGCTATGTGCAGGTCGTAACTGGGTCTGTCCTCTGTAGTTACTGCACTGCCGTCACGGAATTATCTTGTTCTGATACATTTATCTGCCAAACCTTTGCTTTCGGGGGTCCACATTCTATTTGCAAAGTCTGCTAGCCATTACTAAAATGGACAGGGCCACCTAATTTCACAACCACATCAAATACAGACAGGAATCCTGGCAAACGCATTGGTGCAATTCAACATGACACCAAACCAATGCTAAATTTATATATTTTATTTTGCTTTGTGAAATCTAAGTATAATGTTGTAGTCTATATTAACATGTCATCTGTCTAAATAGCATACATTTTCTACCACAATAAAGATGAGACATGAGACAAGCCCTTGCCGTATCCAAACAGTAACAAGTGGTTTTATCCCAAAAATTGTGTGCAATTACACAATTACTTTTAAACACACCCTTAAACTAAAAATAACACCTTATCCCACAGGAGATCATTTGTAGTACCCAACTTTTTATACGCATTTTATTACTTTGATGTAAAAGGCAACCCTTGCTTTTTTATTGTATGGATAAATGCAACTTTTTCTATCATATTTATGTGTGACACAATCTTAAAAGCTTGCTTTAACCTAATTGTGTAGCATTTCATACTAATCCTGGTTTAAAAGAATATGTTCTATTGGCTAAAATATTTATTTCATATTTTTAATATGTTTTTCAATTTTTTTCAATGTATAGATGAAACTTCATATTCTTTAATAAGAATCTGGGGGAGAGAAGGGAAGGGTGATGACATGTTCACTTTAAATGCATTGCAAGAATGAGGACACTTCTGGGAGTATCAGTCCTCTCAATAACCAGACAGAGGCCTTCATTTAATTATTTTGGAATCAACTGGTAAAATGATTACAATCTGTTAGGCAAACTTTTCAAATTATTTTATAAAAAATAAAAATTCAAACAAATATGGTAGACCTTAAAGCTGGCTTATGTAGGTAGGTAGATCACTTGAAAAGTATTTTTTTTTCTTTTTCTCTAATAGATTGTGACTATTTGGAAAGCTTATTAAAAATAATTATATCAAGACCAGACTGTCTGTTACCTGTTGTAGGGAGGACTGTTGTAAAGTTCCGGAGTAAAATACAGGGCATTTAAGCCAATATACAAGCACTTCAGATATTAATACCAAATATATACTATATGATTTTTTTTATGGATAGAAACAATATTATCATTATGTTGCATTTGGTGTGCAGTTGATGTGTATAAACTGAAAAGAGGAAGCCCCATAATTGACGCTGCGAGTTTCCAAACCTCCATAAAACCAATACATGGGGGGGCTGTTGAGACATTGCTGAACACAAATATGTATTACAGTAAAAGCTAACAGTATTATGACTTTCACAATTACAATAGGTTTCATTTATTACATTAGCTGAAACCGTAGGTGAAAAAACCAAAATGTGTGCTATTAACAGCATTTGTCAAACTCAAAGTTTTTATTAGAAATCTTAATAAAACATTTAGTCATAGAAACCACTGATTCTCTATTAATGAAGAGCTGATCCCGGCAGGGAGCAGGCTTAGCTCCCAGGCAGTCCCGAAACCCTGGACCCCAAACACTGGCATACATCCATGCCTGGTGATGGAAGGGAAACCTACCACAGCGCACACAAGCAAAAGAATACGCGGACCCACCGGACTGCACCTAAATTTTTCAGCACCTCAGCACAGACCTGCTGCACTCGCCCAGACTGGGAATAGGCTGAGGATCAGACCTACCCTGGGACAGCGTGATCGCTAAGAAGTACTCATAAGCAGCCACTACACTCTGGACATTAACTGCCCCACTTGACGATCACGAGTATTAGCCCTTATGCATGCTGCTGGCTTGTGCGGGTGATTCTAGGCCGACACCAGCTTGCTGCAGAGAGAAGCAGTATTATTTTTATTTTTTGTTCTTCCCTTTTCGTTTTATTACTCAATTGTACAGATACAGCTATGCTGGCTAATTACATGTCATTACATAATTTAACCTGATAACAGCCAGGCTACCAGCATGTACGGTTGGGAGATATCTCACCTCTATTAACGTGTTTACCGGGTGGTTTACAGCTCACCAGTTTAACATTGTAGTTTAACATTACAGTCTAACATGTTTTCAACATTATAAATTCTCTGATATATAGCTAAATACAATCTGACTAAGTCTACAAACCTCGCTTATCTGCGCTATATTTTAGGAATCTTGCCTACTTAAAACATATAATACTCTTGTAATACATTCTTCAGTTATATGCATATTTAACGTTATCTTTGAACATCACATGTTACGTGAAGCTTAAATACGTAATTATAAAAAAGTGCAACTTCCCATGCCACTGTCAATCCTATTTAACATATATGCACAGCGTTTAATGTTAAAATGTACCTACCTGCACAACCAAAATAAAGAATAAAAAAAAAAAAATTAAGTTTTGAGCAGGATGGAAAAGTTATTTTTCTACTAATCCTTTTTATTTTATTTTTTTATTTTTTTGTAGCATTTTTGTCATAAAAGTTGCACTTTAAGATGCACATTTAATAGTACAAATGAAAGAAAGACCGTGTCATATCTCATATCTTGGTATGTTTCAACGTTTCTCCAAGCGGGAATTATGCTAGAGTTAGATTTTTTTTCTAAGTTCACATTAGAAGTATATTTAATTGCATTGTAACATTTAGTCATGAACATTGATTTTTGTTTTTCTTAATATTTTTGTTATATTAGAGCCTCATGACAACTGATACAAAGCTGTTGAACAAAATGGCATGTTAATTATTCCAATTCAATGTTGCTTCAATCCAAAAGATGAACCAATACCAGAAGACACAGAACAGATGCAGTACCATATTTCCTTGAGTGCATGATGTTTATCTCAGTATGTGCCCTTCCTCCTTTGTGCCAAAGATAATGCTGATTAACATTTCATTCCGACTCTATAATCACTAGTGATGTCAGATATCCATCTAAGTATTCACATTCCACGAAAAAAAATACACTAGACTAAAATAGCAACAGTGTGTGGAATGCAACATATTTCTGAATGATACAAAGACGACTATTCACTCTCGATAGTGAATGTGATGCTATAGTATCTATTCGCTACTTAGCTTACCACACACACGCCCTTTTCTCCCATTATGTGGTGCTCTATTTTCGACTAGTCCCTCCTTCATGGCTGATGATCTTGGCCAATTCAGTGCTTTTCCATAGTAAATCACTGGTAGGCAAGTGCACATGTGCAGCAGAATGCTGTGCCACGCCAATCAGATGGTCTGATTGATATAGCCAAAAGGGCCCTTAGTGACTGTCTGTGTGACAGCCACTAGACACATTTAATCCCTGCAATGTAAACATTGCATTTCCTGCAGAACAGCAATGTTTGCATTTGCAGATTTAAAACTAAACGGACAGACCTCATGTTCCCTACCCAGCATGGTTAAAGGGACACTGTAGTCACCAAAATAACTTTAGCTTATTAAAGCAGTTTTGGTGTATAGATAATTTCCCTGCAGTGTCACTCCTCAATTCTCTGGCATTTAGGAGTTAAATCACTTTGCACCCTAGTCACACCTCCCTGCATGTGACTTGCACAGCCTTCATAAACACTTCCTGTAAAGAGTCAGCTAATGTTTATGCTTCCTTCATTACAAATTCTATTTAATTTAAAATGTATTATCCTCTGCGCTGTCGATAGTTAGCTAGACCCCACAGAAGCCTCCTGTGTATGATTAAAGTTCTCTTTAGAGAGCAGCCAATTAGAACATTTTAAGTAAGTTACATCTAATTGAAATTGAAACTATTTTTCCATTTTCCTTTCATGCATGGAGTGTGAGTGGTTAGGGCTGCATGGACAAAAACAAAAGGGATTCAACTCCTAAATTCCAGAAAATTGAGTGGTGAGAGTGCAGGGTTATGATCTATACACTAAAACTGCTTCATTAAACTAAAGTTGTTTTGGTGACTATAGTGTCCCTTTCAAGTTAAAAAAAAAAGCCTTGCCTTCCCGTTGTCCAGAACTAAAACTAAATGTCCTGGTTGTTGGGTGATAGGAATTCAACTTCCATGTACAGTGTGTTTGAGCTTCACTGCAGTAGATAGTGAATCGTATGTGCGTGTATTAAAGAGCCCCTCTAACAAACACATGCTCGCAAAGTTACCTCCAACCCTCCCTCCAATATACACATGCTCAGAAAGAGGCATTATATATACCTACAAACAATGTACATGTACCCACTCAAAGATATGCATTTAAGGCAATATATCCTAGAAATAGTTGTTGCCAAGAAACTAAAACATAACTTTTATTTCTTCGTGTTAAAATATAAATCATAATTTAAAAAACAAACAAACATAAAAACCAAACACATTGCTAAAAAGTAGCAGCTAGGGAAAAGAAATTGTTCAAATAGTAAACAATACTTTGTATCTATAGCACACTAAATTCTAAAGTAAATTCAAGTGGATAGCTCCCGTAGTAGAGTAGCTGTGCTTATCACAGAATTGTCAGGTTAATTTTCTAACGTTAAGAGTGAAAGAAAGGAAAACACCTTATTAATATTATCCAAAGTCTTCCCATATACTAATTATAAAAAAAAATATACACTGTGCCTTCGAGGGCACCTACGCTGAAGACATTCAAAGAAGTGCAGCAGTAACTATTAGTAAAAAAGATCTCTAGATACATGTGTGCTATAGATACAAAATAGTAACTTAAACTTTGTATTCTATTTGTAGCAATTTCTTTTTCCTAGCCACTACTTTTTAGCAGTGTTTTGTTTTTGTTTTTTATTACGATTTTCCATTTTAACATGTTGAAAGTTGTGTTTTAAATTCTTCGTAACTGCTATTTCTAGAATGTATTCCTTTTTTTCTTTCTTGTATCTTAGTAGGGGTTATCCCTCTATTTAGAAGGCCTAGAATGTTCATTATAATTATTATTATTGCCATTTATATAGCACCAACATATTCCGTAGAGCTTTACAATATTATGAGATTATGAGAGGGGGGATTTGACTATAAATAGGACAATTACAAGAAAACTTACAGGAACGATAGGTTGAAGAGGACCCTGCTCAAATGAGCTTACAGTCTATAGGAGGTGGGGTATAAGACACGGTAGGACAGGAAATATCAATCAAATAGGGAGGGAGTGAAGCAGAGCTGGAGGAGAGGGTAGAGAGAGCAAGAGACAGGTATGTAAGGTAGAGGTTACTCTGGGAGGCCATAAGCTTTCCTGATTCCTCATTAATGACGCTGTACCTTATTTGGAGACCTTTTAAAAATGTAACCACATGGAGAATGCTCCTGTGTTCTTCTGTTCACCTTTGTGTGACTTCAACACCGATATGAATCAATATGAAATCTTCTGCGACTACTGAATCAGTTACCACATTCGCAGATAAATGTTTAATTTTCATCTTTTGATTATAACGTAAAGTCAATTTCCATTGAACATTAGGTGTCCTCTTAATGTTTTAATGTTTTAGTTCAAGCAAAAGGTTTTATTTATAAGGTGCACGAGAAAAAATGAAAAACAATTAAAAGATTTAAAGCCACCCCTGGCTCAGTCTGCAGGTGATTAATTGAGGTAGTTATTGAAGATAATAGAGTGACTGCAGACGCATTATGTAGAGTAGAAATCAACCTTTAAGAATTAATTATGTGATTAGTAACCCAGAAGAAAATCTCCATCTTGATTCTTATCATGGGCTTCTCCATGTCTACTCTACTTCAAAAGCCTACAGCAGGGCTTGACAAATATCCTTGGAATTTAGGAGCCAGGATTTGTTTTTTTTAAGGTAGGTAGACCCTGGCTTGGGTGTGAAATCAGCCTATGCCTTGCGGTGGCCGAATGTAGACTCATCATAGGAGTCCCAGATGGATAGCTCACTCAAGTGGTAATGTTTGGCATTCAGGTAAGTTCTGTGTGATCAGCAGGTGGACCCAAGTTCCAGCGTGTACTGCCGGCTTCACCTTGTGTCTCGATCTGCTTCTGTGCGCCATTCAAGTCCTGGTGTGACACTGACTGTTCTCCTTTTGCCCAGTAGCGGACTTATAGCAGCTGTCAGGTCCCTAGTTGTAGTGGGTCGCAGGTGTGCCTTAAGCCTTGCCCGAAAGGACTCGATTAGCCCCTCCAAATGGTGCAGGACATCCAATACACCTCTGTATGGGCCAGGCGCACATGTGGCATCCGCCACCTTGGGGTACGCTTGAGTGCCTGTTGCTTGTATCACGGGTATGCCGTGCGCCCCTTAGAGTAACAAGGAAGCCTCCTAAAAGTAGACCAGGATCACCTCCACCAGTCCAAAGGGGGGCGGGAACAGGTCATTAATTGGCAGCGCGTGTCCAGGGCGGAGAACGGCCGCTTCTCCACTCTCCTGGGTCCCCTAGGCCGCCAAGCCAGCCCCCAGGCCTCCGGTAGCGTGGACACCCGAGGACATCAGAACACGCTTCGGTTTAGGATCACCGGCAGGGCAGCTGGAGTCAACGTTTGTGGTGTAATCTTCCAAAATAGCTGTACAATTAAGATTTTGTGCTGGAGCAGTGAGCATGTTGGTTCATTGCCCAGAGCCATGCTGAAGAGCTCTGGCATTAGAAAAAGGCCCTGAATTTGTTCTGCGCAGCGCAAGCAAATTTAATAACATGCTTGCGCTGTGTTTGCTTTTAAATTGTCTCTGGTGTCTCCACAAGTGGGATACCAGAGGACAAAAGGGCCAGGAAAGTGTATGGTGCATATGTTTGGAGCCTGCTTGTGGGATTGCGTGTGTGTAGAGTGTGGTGTGGTATTGTGTAAATAGGTCAATTTCATTTGTGTTTGTGGTGTAATATGTGTGGCAAGGGGATGTAGAGAGTGTGTGTATAGGGGGCATAGTTTTATAGGGGATGCAGCGAGTGTGTGCATAGGGGCTGAAGTGTGTGTGTATAGGTGACGTAGTGTGTGTGTAGGCGTTGCAGAGAGGGTGTGTTTAGAGAATGTTGTATGTGTTTGCTGACAAGGAATGTAGTGTGTGTGTGTAGGAGATCTACTGTGTAAAGGACCCAGTGTGTGTGTGTGTGTAGAGGATTAAGAGTGCATATAGGGTAAGGGATCTAGTGTGTATCTGGAGCATAATGTGTGTAGTGGTGCAGTGTGAGGGGTGCTGTAGTGTGTGTGTGTGTATATATATATATAAATATATATATATTTGGACTTATGGTATGTGTGAGGGGCGCAGTGTGTGTATGTAAGAGGGGTGCTGTGTGTGAGGGTGTTTTTATCTGCTGTCACATTCTAGGTTTCTAATTTTCTTTGTCTGTTAACTCACTGAGGGTTATTTTATATATATATATATATGTGTGCTGTATATGTGTGGGAGTGTGCTGTGTGTGTTTGGGGGTGCTGTGTGTGTCTGGGGGTGCTGTGTGTGTCTGTGGGTGCAGTGTGTGTCTGGGGGTGCAGTGTGAGTTTCGGTGCTGTGTCTGGGGGTGCGCTGTGTGTGTGTGTCTGAGTGAATGTATTTTAAATTTAAATTTAAATATATATTTTTTTATTAATAAAAAAAAAAATATTATATCCCCCCCTTCCTTCTTACCTTTATCCTGGGAGGGGGGGGGAGGAGGAGATCCGTTCTGCCTGGGGGGTGGGGAGCCATGCTGCCTTCCCTGGTGGTCCAGTGGTGAGAGTGAACTCTAACCTGCGGGTTAGAGTTCACTCTCGCGAGATCTGAGCGTTGCTATGGTAACCGCGGCAACGCTCAGAATCCCGCGAGAGGACCCGGCGGAGCTGCTTGTTACAGCTCCGCCGGTCCTCCCTCCCCAGCCGGCGGCCGCATCTCCCTGCCTGTGGGCCGGTGAGGGAGATCTTTGATCTCCCCACAGGCCCATGGAGGCGCACAGTAGGGCCGGCGCTCGGATAGCGCTGGCCCTGCAGGGGCCGGCAGGGGAGATCCTGTGATCTCCCTGCCGGCCTCGGCCCCACGGCCATCGCGGCCCACCGGGCATTTGCCCGGTATGCCCGATGGCCAGTCCGGGCCTGATCTAAATATATATTTCATATTACAAAGTGTGTGTCTCTCACAATTTGTTGGCCATTGTTATACATTAAAAGTGGTTTTGATGGTCTTGCTGGTGGCAGGAAATAACTCCTGACTGAGACAACTTGCATGCAGCTGGTGCTCCTCTGGGAAAGCTTGTTATTGAGCGATACAAGTCAGTAAATTGATTAATTCACTAAGTAAATTCTGCCATATATACCTGAAATTAACAAACCTGTAGCCTGATAATATCTGGTTTGCCACATTGAGCGTTATTGGAGCCGATTGTCACAGCAGTCCATGGACACAGTTAAGTTGGGGGAAGCCGTTGATCCTCTACCCTGAACTATTCTACCTTTTCTTTGGGGCCTGCTCGGAGTAACCCCCATTGGATCAAGATACTGACCACATATCCATAGGCAGGGATTGTACCGCCCAGGTGTATTATTTTGTAGCTAACTATTAAGTCTGCATACTGTAAGTGCATTTATTCTGTTTACTCCTATGAACAAAGAGACATACTACACTATATTCCACTCCTTGTCCTGTTTTCTTAATACGTATACCCACATTTAAGAACTTTTACCAGGTGCTACTTCCTCTTCCTGGATACCGTCTAATGGAAAATGGCAGGACATGATGCAGGAGTTGATATATTTATCCATAATTTGGCTTATGATAGCTTTTCATTTTTTCCTATTTTTTTATTTTTTTATTGCAGTGAAATCCTAATATGTTCTATACAGGTTTTTAATAAAGCTCTGCCTTCATACAAATTGTTAAAGTAACAGTGCTGCTTAAAAGAGTTGGTGTGCAAGTTCTTAAAGCCTCTGAATTTTCTTTTTCTCTCATCATTCTTGAGAGATCAAATCTCAGGTCAGTGTTTATATATGCGATATCAAACATCCACTTATGTTGGATTCTAAAATTGTTTGTACTGTCGTATATATTTAGACTTTAGCATTTTGAATAAATTCATAACTCAAACCTATTTCAGAATAAATAGGTTTTTCCCCATATTTTTCTTGGCTTACAACCATCCCCTTCATTTAACCCCTTAAGGACACATGACGTGTGACATGTCATGATTCCCTTTTATTCCAGAAGTTTGGTCCTTAAGGGGCTAAATAATCTTAAAACTACTGCAAATATTTTTTATCCCCCACGTAAAAACTGGTGGGGACGAACCTCCGCTGGTTTATTGCAAAATGCAGGTGTATCATGTTTTGGTAACATATTTTTAAAACTTTTTTTGGTTTATTTTTATGCACTTAAGGTGGTGGATCATGTTTATCTTGAAATGTTGCACAATCATTTTTCTGGATTTCACTAAGGGGAGCACTTGTAATGTTTTACTGTGAGTTAAAGCTAACACCAGGTGAATTTTTACTTTTTTAAAGCCGGCAGCTGTATATCTAGGTTTTGTAAATAAGAAACAAAACGCTCCGTAAACAATTTATTAATTTTGTCCATTTCTGTTTGTTAATGTGATTTTAATGTTGCCAGTATTTCCAGGAATTGTCATTTATCTCCTGCCTTCCCTGTCCCTTGGGAAAATTACGAAATCCCACCTTTCATCTCTTGTTCCGACCACTAAATATCACAATCTCTTTCGTATCTAATGTGTTCATGTGCACTATATTTCATTCTTTTTTTTTGTATTCCATAGTCTGTTCATGAGTAGCTATAGTCGTTTTAACACCGAATGAGAAACTGGGAGTAGTAAAGTGTTATGGAGTTCCCCTGTAGTCCTGCTCTTTCTTGTCTTTTTTGTAAATAAAACCAAGGCCAGTGTAAGGATTTCTGGTGACATAGTCAAAAACACATTTTCCCCTTCCTATATTAAGGATGAATGTGTTCCCTACTAAACTCATAATAAAATTAGTTTGATGTAGGACGGTCAGTTTGGATTAATCTAATATTGTATGTAAATGATTGAAATCTTGAAAAACGGCATTTGTGCATAGCCACCAACACACCTTTACTTTTCGGATGAAGCTACCATTATTGTAGATCCAAGGGCTATTTGACTATTTGATTCATCTAAACTTGTAGTGTTTGCTTTAAATGTTCTGAACTTTAGACATTTTTCATCTTTGCAGCTGGAGAAACTAATGCCCACAGTTTAGAATGTTCTGACCTATAATTTTGTATATCCTGCTATTATCAAAGCTTCTGTGTCACATTCTCGTACAATCATTCACATGTGGTCTCAATTTGTATTCCTTTAAACCTTGTAATCTCATTTTGATGTTGTACAATATTTGCCAACTCTCTGTTTTGTACATATCTGAAATTACTTTGACTCTGTCATTTTGGCATACTACATCCTTTTGCTGATTTGTATTGACTCTGTTTAATTTCTTTGTAATCAGAGGGTTTTTTTTCTTTTCCCTTTTTATCTTGTTTTCATTTATGCGGTTTAGTTAAAAGCTAGATTGGCTTCTAAATTTGGAAGAAGCGCCAATATTTTTCATGTTCAGTTTCCACTGACATCAATCCAAGTTTGTGGAGAATTTCCAAGGAAGACCCAAGAGTAATCTGAATGTGCCTTTTACGTGACATTTGATTATGATTCTAATGCTAGAGATCCCCGCTGAGTGTCATTGGCACGTTGGGCTTAAAGGAACACTATAGGGTCAGGAACACAAACATGTATTCCTGACCCTATAGTGCAAAACCCACCATTTAGGTGCTTGCCCCCTCAAAAGTTAATAAAACTCACCATATTTCAATTGCTGCGCCGGTCCTGCCCCCTTGGTGACATCAGAATTGACGATTTTTAACCAATCCAATGCTTTCCCGATTGGCTAAAATCGGCAAGGGGCAGGGCCAAACATTGCTTTGTCCAATCAGCACCTCCTCATAGAGATGCATTGAATCAATGCATCTCTATGAGGAAAATTCAGCGTCCCCATGCAGAGCATGGAGACGCTGAACGGCAGTGCTGCCTACTGTGCAGCACCTCCCCAGGAAGCACCTTCAGTGGCCATCGGAGGAGTCGCTACTTGTAGGTGTCCCTAGAGGCAATGTAAACACTGCTTTTTCTCTGAAAATGCAGTATTTGCATGAAAATGCATGCATACAATGATTATACTCACCAGAACAACTACATTAAGCTGGGTAAAACATCATGTGTTGAATCTGGCGCCCAATTGCTCAGCTCAGCTATTTCTGCACAGATCAAAGCTTGAACTGGGAGCCACTGATAGGTCGAAATTGTCATCTTATGTTCTCAGCCTATCCGCTTCCGCCCACAAAACAGCTAGAGAAAAATGCGCACATTTATCGAGCCATTTTGTGAATGGGGAACTACTGACTCTCATTCTGTTAGCAGCTCCCAGACCACAGCTTACTGATTAATTTCCACTTTCAGAAAAAAGTTGTTACAGTGCCCGGAATGTGCCTTTAAAAAGACCGGTATGCTTCAACATGCAGAAAACTACTACATGATATGGCATTGTGCCCTTTCTGATCACTGACTAGGTTGTTGGATTTAAATAAGCTAATGAACAAGCCGATCAGAACATAGCTCTGATTCCACATGTAATAGTTAGGCATCCCTTCCCCCCCCCTTTTTTGTCCCCTTATAGCTGTCATCATCAGCTATCTTTAAAATGGAGATGGCTCGGATACTGACAATTGAACAGAAATTTACTTGAATTTGTTGTATTTTAGATTGAACTCCGTAGTGTTTCTTTGCATGATTGTTCTAGCTTAGCTAGTTTGCATTGATAATGGGGTATTGTGGTGATGACACTAGCCTGTTTAGAAAAAAAAGAAAATCTCTTCGCTGTTAAGAAGAGATAATGGATAAAGTACCTTATCTGCTTTTCTTTCTCTGTCATCGCTGTGAAGAGTAGTCTGCTTGCGAGGAAACAGAACAATATCACATGCAATGCATTCCTTTCAAGAAAAAAATAAAAATAAAAAATCGCAGGAGAAAGTAGACTGCTTTGTACTTGAAATGCACTTTTTTTTTGGAAATGTGGTTCATAGCACATGATTCATCGCCCATTTTTAGACATGTAGAAGCTGGGGATTCATTTATAGCCATGCCAAGGATTAAGTAGAGAGCAAGTGATTTTTTAAATTTATTTAAGTGAATCATTTTTAGAAATAATTTTGATATCAATTCCCGGCAAGTGATTTAAAATTTTTTTTTTTAAACATACAGTATAAGCCAAATTTTTGGAACCACCGAAATACCTGTAAGATGCATAATGTTACAGTCATCTTATCACGATGTAAAATGACATGTCAAGAGTTTTTTGTTTCACCTGGTTAGATGTGTCAGTTTAATTTTAGTGTTACAACACATCAAAGCACATACAAAACATCCACAGCAAAAAGCATCCATTTCCGTAGATAACTATGTGTTTATTTATATGCTTAAATAATATATATCTTCAGATCTGGAGCTGCATACATCAAAGACTAATCATAAGAAAAATAATGCAAGCCTTCTGAACCTAATTATCCTGTACTTATTTTAGGTTTAATTTCCTTTTAATTAATACGCATAAATTCCATTGATATCCTAGGACATCCTGCAGTTTATGTGTGGCTATGAAGGAAATAATTAAATGTATTTCAGTCCATGACATCGAGATAATGGAAAAAGCGTAACGCTTGTATGAGACGGGATTATTGCTCTTGTTTTCGTTTTTGCACCCACATGTTGTGTAATATTGTGTTTTTTTTTTTATAAGGTAGACCTTAGAGAAGCATTGCTAAAAGCATGATTAAAGTCTTGGAGAACGCCATTTTGAACTCAGGGATCAACATGACCCATCATTTGCTATAATGGTTCAGGGACCCACATAGGTTCTAGATGGCAAAGACCGTTTTAGGTCATATCTAATCTATACAGTAATGAGATGGGTCTTCTTGAGTGTGTATCCCTTGGTTCTGAGAGCAGTGATAAAGTCTGCCAATAGGACCATCTATGGGTATGTGCGTGTTCCTAGCACTCCATGTAAATACCTTGTTTACATGGGGACATGTGGCATAGGAATTTTATATTTTTTTATTTAGCAGAATTAAAGAGATAAAATACAGCATGAATGTGAGTCCAGAGCACACAAACAAATACACTTAAGTTGTGTTGGTGCCGGAGCGTTTCTTGAAATATTGTACCTATTAGCACTGGTAGGCCTGAAACTGATGTATGCAACTCCAGATCTGAAGATCTAAATTTCAAACACTTTTACGGTCATCATCTTTTACATTTCATCAAAAAGACGTATTCGAGATGACATGAGTACGATCATGAAAAAACAACAACAACAAAAAAACAAGGTGCAAGAGAATACTGATAATGGAAATAGCTCAAATAGCTTGCTGTCTGGTGGGTCCCTGCTTAGTTCTCAGGTTGGTTTTAGCCTGTCTTGTGCCATTACAGAGAAGACCAAAACCACAAAAGGGTGGACAAATAAAAAATGCAGACTGGATCTCCAAGAGACACCTCAAAACCCAGACAATTGTTTCGGCCTTCTTGGGTCTCATCAGTAAGGTGTAGCTAATACCCCTCTAGGCACAGGGAGTAAGGTGTCCATGTCTGGATTACCCTTTTACCGTAGTAAGAGCTAAAAAAAAAAACAGGGTGCAAAAGAATACTGATAATTCACAACAGCTCAAGTCGCTTGCCCTTTGGTGGATCCCCATTCATTCTCAAGCTGGCTTTACCTCATCTTGTGTTAGAAAGAACCTAAATCATTGCATATCCCACTGAACCTATCCAAAAGACAATGACTGCTGACTTATTGTGTGTGTTGCTTTTTTTCGGTCAGAGTCCTTTGGTCGGTATCTGCACACTGCCCGCTCCCAATGTATTTCACTTTGTAGGCAGATCCCAATAACCTCTAATTGCTGTTTTTTTTACAGCCCCAAATCACTGCCTTTTTGTGGTTTCTGACCTCACAGCGCGCTCATGACTTATTCTTTATTTTTTTTACTGTGGATTTATTGCTTTTGATAAAGTTCCTGAGACTTGTTATCCCTGACCTGCCTTGCTATGCGTTCATCTTTATTTCTAAAATACCTGACCCAGCTTGTTTATCCACTGTGAGTTCCACTGGCTCCCAATACCTTGGCTATTTTTGACTACTCAATCATGTTATTCCACCTCTTATGACCACTCTGCAGCTTGGTAACATACTTTGTCATTTTCGTTTCTATTCAACCGTTTCTGATCTGTACTTAGCATTTTGAAGATTGGTCTTGACCTTGACATTTTAGTTTTCTAAGAATACTAAACAAGTGTTTGAATTTTTAAGACTTCCAGTAATTGTTGCATTACAATTTATTGATTTGATATACTAGTAGCATGAGAAAAATCTTTCACTGGTTTTTAATTGCCTTACTTTGCAATAATGTATACATGCATCGGATTTGTAGTTGAGAGAGAATCAGGGGGTTAAGTTTAGACAGCCCGGATGGTAGCAGAATATAGATGCCCTGTGCATGGTGGAGCTTTTCCATTATACAGTCTGGAGACATACATTTGAATATGTACGTGTGGAAGAGCAAGCACTGTACATAGTTTATACACTTGCAATAACAGTTTATGTAATGGTAGAACGGAAAAGGTAAAGCCTTGGACAGTTTACGGACATAATACATTCTGTATGTGTAGGTACGGTCTTTGCTTGATTATGATATTGATCTTGTTGAGAGAAAAAAAAAGCAAAGGCCTGAATATACACACAAATGCACACATTTTGACATAAATATCAAAATTAGAAAATAAAGCAATTACCTTTTGTTTCTTACAGCAAGAAACAGAGCAGCTACAAAAGAAAAGAAAATATTGTTAAAATCTTTAAAAAAAAAAAAAGTGTGAACCAGTAAACTTGGTATTACGTGCTGTAGTTAAATAACTTTGTTACTGAGTAAGCAATTCATACAATGTACCCTCCTGACTGCTATTACTATCAATACTCTATGAAAACCTGGAAGTCTAATAGTAACAGTTTCCACTTACTATCTGACCCTGCAGCTCGGGCAGCGATATTTTGGTGGACCCCTCGGAACACACACATTATGATCCCTGCATGGCGACCCACAGAGCAGAGCAACACGTGCACAGACTACTTCTAGCCAGACTAAAGCAATCTATTGTGACCAGGCCCCTGTTTAGCAATTCTTATCGGGTGGCCCTAAAGTGCATTGACAACCTAAGCACGCAGGCCGGCTGCACTGGCGGTAGTTCCACCACTGTCAATGGGGCTGATCTGAGGTCTGATTAAAAAAAACAACTTTGATTATAAGACGGTCGTTTTTTCAGAAGTTTTTTACTGAAAAAACCTTATCTTGTAATCGAGAAAACATGGTATTTACTTACGCTTATGGCAACGGTTTTTTATTTTCTTTAATTATTTTTTTTGTACGTTTATATCTGCATTCATAGTGTTTATGAGAACTCTGCTTGGTTTTAAAATTCCGCTTTTTTGCATTCTTAACACACAAACATACTCTTATGAGACACCATTTGTCTTGGCTATCATCGCTCTTTCTATCAGCTGTACGGAAACTAATGAAGATGATTTTGTTTCTGGGCTCAGAACATGTAAAACAAGTTGTACGGATTGTCACCCAAGGCATGAGGCAAAGTAGGACATTTATACTTGTTTTTAAAAAGTGCTGTTCTACTTACTCGGCGTAACAAGAAATCTGCCTTTTTATGTGTATTAGATAATGTATGTCATACAGAAAATTCTGTGCTCTTAGGAGAGTGGCTAGCTACTAATGAGCATACAGTTGTGTAAATGATTTATTGGTATTTTCAGACTGGCTGCTGTGTAGAAAGGCTATGGTGCATTTGGTTCTGGTTTTCATCATATCATTTTTAAGCAATTTGACAAAAATATAGGATTCCCCAACAGTCTAAGCCAACTCCCTCGTCTAAATGTGCAGTTTAATATTTGTACTGGTCGGCCAGAAACAACTGTAAGTTATGGTGTTTGAAGCATTCCTTTATTTCACTTGGAATATATATATATATATATTTATTTTTTATTATTGTTATTATATATTTTATTTTATTTTTTCTTGGAAGGTATACTCCTATTCACAAACTGTAAATAATGCTTGTTACACCTTGATTTGCAGGTTATTGAAGAAACTTTAAGTAGGATTTTGCGTAAGTGTTTTTTGTATTTCCAGTCCAAATCTACATTCTCGTACACCATGTAGAAGACCAGGCAGTCTTATTTACAAAAATTTCACTCACACCGAAATCATGTTAATACAGAGGAAGAGTGACTTTGTGAGAACCTATCTTAGGGCAAACACAGTAAGGATTTATACTGGGAATATGAGTTAGAGGATTCAAAACTAGAATCAAGGGCCAGTCTGGATCAGCAGCAGGTATCTTGGATTATATAAACACAGGAACCAGAAAATATTGAGAATAATAGAAATGACCATGAACAAAAAGGAAAGCCATGTCAAAATGATAATTTTTATCAATGAGAAGAACACTCACAAAAATAAAATTATGTGAGCATCCATGGAGTGGAACTAAGTGATTAAAAAAAAATGATGGCTGTTAAATACACAGTAATAGCCACTCAAAACCCTGTTAATAGGATGCCGCTTTATTTGTACTCAACATAGATTTGATAGCAGAGGGTGCTAAACGAAACTCAGAACTATGCGTATATGTAGAGGTATTGTGGTGCCCACAGAGACTGAACACAATAGGAGGCAAGCTAATACAATAGCAGAGCACTGAGCCTCAGACTTACCATGTTAATAAGCAGAACCCATCATAACTTGATTTATAACTATGGGGCACATCAGCAAGCATGGAGCCAGAGTCACATGTATGGAAACATGTGGAGAGCTTTGAAATCAGTCCCTCGAATGTTTTCAGTGCTACACTTAACCAGATGTGTACAAATTGGTTTATATTGAAAATTCACTTTTCTCTCTCTTGAGAGTTAATCTAATTTCTGAAACATCATAAACTCAAAACATATTTTAATTATCTGCACGTCTACAGTTCCTTGAATCCGTGTGCTATGTTTAATCCACTCGGAACCTTGTTTCATGCATCTTCTGCGATTCCTTATATCCTTTCGACCTTCTTTTCAACTGGAGCGGGTTTCCATTCCTGTTTGCTGAATGATGGTTTCGTTAAGATGAATTTTTGGTTCATTTGTATTTTTATATCAGCCCTGCTAGTATTCGTCAAGTTCATTTCAGAACAAGCTGTCTGTTGTTTCATTTTATTATTTTGTTCTAAGGCCCCTTTTCAGGTATTGTGTTTTAGCCCATTGGGAACAGGTGCCTTTGTCTGCTTTTTACAGCTTTGAACATGTCCTCCAGTTTCCATTTTTAATCGTAAAAGGCTTTTTTTTTACCTGTGGCAAAAAAAAAAAAAAGATTTTCTAATGCCATCAGGTTTGCAATTGCAGTTTTATTCTTCCAATGTTCTCCTGTGTTTTGTCGTTCCTAGTAATATCTCTCAATGGACAACCTTCATTACCCTAATGGGGCATCTTTTGGGAGATTCACTGGGGATATATTTGCTGCAAGGCTTACTCAGAGGGCAATTGTGATTTGGCAGGATATTAAAGGGAAACTGTCACTTTCTAGAATTGTTAATATTATATTTACTTATGTACTTAAAAGTACTTTTCGTTCTTTCTTTTCTTTTTTTACATACAATTAAATGTAGAAATCAACACTTTATCAACAATCTAGTCTGCAAATGAGTGCCTCCATATTAGCTGCTTGTTAATCATTGTTGTGTGTCATTTTTTCGCCTTGCAGTCAGTATAGAGAAAGCATACAGAGAGGAGAAGGGAAAATGTTTTACTTATTCTATAGTGCATGCTTTACACTAAACAGGTTAGTGATGTTGTTTCTTAAATCTTTAGAATATGTTTAATACAAAACTTTGCATCACATACAAAAAGGTTAACGCAAGTCATAGGTGTTTTTTTTCAGTGTTTTATGCAATAGTGTAATTTCCAGAGGAGTGACTCGTCCCCTTTACATGAACCAATTACAAAATATGGGATCACTAAAACTGACATATAGGTGTCCCTGCTTTTAGTAAAACTTAGCATGTTGCATAGGTTCAGAATCAGATTCAGGGGCTGGTAAAGCGGGTAATCCGGTTATCATTGAACGAGGAGCTGTTCTTCCTATAGCCCTCCTTTGTCTATCTAAATGAAGATGCTTCTGTCTAACCCTTATATCAATGTCCGACATGTATTGTATAAGGTCTTCTAGGAGTTCTGGTAAATCCCTAGCTGCCACTTCATCCTGTAAGGACTCAATAAGACCCTCAAAAAACACAGCTGTCAGAGCACTGTTATTCCAAGTCAGCTCAGAGGCCGAGGTACGAAATTCAATAGCATAGTCGGCCACTGAGCTAGATCCTTGTTTGATTTTTAACAGTGCTCTGGCTGCTAGTCTCTTTCTGCCTGGGGGATTGAACACATTACGAAAAGTCCTGAGGAACAGTTCAAGATGGAAAACAATCATATCATCATTCTCCCACAAGGGATTTATCCAAGACAGGGCTCTGCCCTCTAATAGGTTCATAATGAACGCTATCTTGGACCTATCATGGAATGAATCAGGAGCTACTTCAAAATGTACTCCCACCTGGTTCAATAATCCCCAGAATAACGATGGTTCCCCGGAATAACGAAGAGGGGGAGTTAGGTGAATGGATAGAGTGGAATGAGTCGCAGAGGGTAGAGAGACAGCACCTTGAGAACTACTGTCCTCTGCCTCTGGTTGAAGACACGCAGTTCTAGTGAGGATAGTTTGCAAGGCTTGGGCAAACTGATCCATTCTATGGTCTAACCCATCTATTCTATTTTCATATGCTGCCATTTGTTGTCCCAGGTTTGCAGGGTCCATGGCCCTGTTGTAATGTCAAGGTTAATACTCCCCAACACGCAAACCAGAGAACAATAAAGGCAAGCACAGGCAGACTTATTACCGGACCTTAAAGTGTCCGGACTTAACGTAGGAATAAGATATAAGAATAGTCAGACACGCCAAGGTCAGGGATATAGAGGTACAGGGAAGCGAATAGACAGAGCCAAAAGTTCAGTACTATCACTTTAAATGCTAAGGTCACGTCACCCCTGTCGGCTACCGCGTGTGCGCACGTCCTCGGACGCCCTCCCAGACGCACGCACGCCTGACGCCAGCCAGAGATCTGCACAGCCCGGCAGGAGAGGACGGACGGCGGGACCGGGACGGCGCAGGACACAAGGTATGACAAAATGCCACCGGAAACTAGGTTTCCTCTTATTAATTCACAACAAATTGCTCCCTTATTTTGGAGTGTGAAGAGCTAGCTTCAGTTGTGTATTGTGTGCCAAGCATTTTCAACAGAGGCAAACAGCAGTCAGAGTTTTGTCAGCAGGTTAATTATTTCCTTCACCACTTAAAATCTCAAGCACCCACAAAAGCCAAGCATCTTGTTGCACTCTGAAGACTATTATGTATTTATTGCTTTGAAACGTAGCCGATGATTTGACCTTATCCACTCAGTTTTCAATCACAGTGAAGGATTACGAAGTCCACATATTAGAGTCTGACTTTTCAGTCCGGCACGCGTTTGGATAGACTGTATCCCTAATTGTTAGTGAGCATTAGTGTATGTGTTTGTATGTGTCCTTCTGACCTCATAAAACAGCTAAGATGTACGGAAAAATAGAGAGGTTAGCTGGGGGCATGTGAATTCTGCAGAGAGATTTTAAAGATTGTGTTGCTTAGGTGATGTATTTTCATTTAAAATTCTAGAGTTATCTATTGTATTGCATTGCAAAATCCAACACCTTCGATATATACATATCACGTTACTGAAAATGATGAGTAAGTATAGTGCTTGCTTGTCTTTAGTAGTCGATAAGTGTTCAGGAAACGTTAACCTAGAGGCAAGACACATATTGGCTTACGGGCTCGTTCACTAAAATTTAAATTGTCGGAAATGTAAAGAAAGTTTCACATTTTAGGCTGAAATAGCTATTTGGGTTTTCCAAGTTGGCTATTTTTACATCAACTTTACATTTACTTTGAATTCAGAAAAGTTTGCATTATTATTATTATTATTACTGGTATTTATATAGCAACAGCATATTCCGTAGCGCTTTACAATATTATCAAAGGGGGAGATGTAAGTATAAGTGAAAAACCTTGTCGCTTTTCTAGAGTAAACCTAGGTAAGTCTCTTTATTAAACTGAGTTGGTAACCGACTTGAAAAATAACTGTTATATTTTGGCATAAACTCTGTCGGCAGTACACGTCTTCTCACTGGTTAGTTTATGAAACCTTTCGTCAGCTTAGTGAATTTTACCATCTTTTTCAGCCCTATTATTTCAAATTTGCAACATCAATTTGCCTGAAGCATGTCTGTCTGAGGCTCACCAGCTGTGGTTGTATCGTAATTTAGATATATTTTAACAAGTGTCTATAGCAGGCTGAGCCTAATGAGAGGTGTAGTGTAACAGAAACAAGGCTTTTATAGGAGATTAATATTTATTTTTTTAAATTGATATATATCCTTTTTTAATCTCCTGCATAAATGTTTGTCACATTCATGTCTTTACAGAAGCTGCCCTTGAGCTATGATTTGCATAATATTCTTCAAGTGTCTGAACTCTAATGGAATATAACACTTTGTGGCCCTGAGTCACAATGATCTATTTCATATTGTTTCCATGGGGATTACATGACAAAAGGGCTGTACATACCCTCATAGGGCACCCTATCATTATACAGATAACATTTTTTTTCACTTGTAATGAGCACCTTAGTATCAAGCAGACACTCTTATAAAGTCTTATGTTTATTGATCTATCTATCTATCTATATATATATATTTGAGCCATGTACCATAAAAATCACCATACATCTCCCCACGGTGCAAAAAAAAAACAAAAAAAAAATACAGTAATGCATCACATGCATACCTCAAGCTGGACTTTGAGGGGTCCTTCTAGGGAATAGAAACTCACGAAATCATGTTCTTGGCTTGATATGCAAATGAGCACAGACAGACAGCAGATTTCAAACTGCATTTCTGCAGATACCCTTCGCAATGAACACTGTTTTAAAAAACATATTTTTTTAAAACCAAAGCATGGGCTTTGATTCAAAAGACTCAGTGACCAGAAACCAGTCATGGACTATAGTTTTAACATTGTGGGTCCCATCAGCATTGTGCTGGCTCTGGTCTCGAAGTTGAAGTTTCTCTGAGAGCATCTAGCTGGTTACTAAAAAGATTTTGGTGAGACCAAACACAATACAACGATTCAGTCTTTTTGGCACTGTACTAGGTGATGTGAGGCTGGCATGCAGCTTCTCGGCCATTGAAACCCAATTGATGAAGCTCCTGTCACATGGTTTTGTAATAATATTAATGCCAGTGGAAGTTTGGAACTCTTCAGCAGAGTATTGGCGACTTTTATGCACCACGTTCCTCAGCACTCGGTGACCTAACTCTGGGATTTTGTGGCTGGATGGCTGCTGTTCCTATACATGTCCACATTCCAATAATATTACTTACAGTTGACCGTGGAATCAGGGCTGTACCTTACGCGAGGCTGACAAGACATTTGCCTTGGGTGGTACTTTCAGGAGGGCAGCAAAAATCCCCGCCCCTCATGCGCCCTGGCAAATGCCTTGTCAGCCTCTTTCATGGGGGCGAAGGAGGCCCCCCCGAGGCGGGCAGCTGCCAATATTACGGACGGGCGGTGAGGGAGCGCTGTACTCTGAGCTCTTACTCCTCAGCTCCCTCGCGTGCCTATAGTGATGCCGGGAGCCATAATATGACGTAATTACGACTCCCGGCAGCACTATAGGCGTGCGAGGGAGCTGAGCAGGAAGATCACAGCTCCCTCGCCGCCAACATTGACCAGACGCCTGCCTGCCCACTGAGGAGCACAGGAGTCTGCACAGCCGGCCATACAGCCCAGCACCTACACTGGATCCCAGGGACATCAGCTCCTCAGGACCCCCAGGTAAAGAATCCACTCCAGCTCTCCCAAAGGTAGGGAGGCTGGGTGGATTTTATTTTTTTTAAATAACAATTTGTGAGTGTGTGAGGCAATGTATGTGAGTGTGTCACTATCAGGGTGTGTTTCAGTGTTTGTCTGTCAGTGTATGTGTGTCAGTCAGTGTATGTCTGTGAGTATGTGTGTCTGTCAGTGTATGTCTGTGAGTATGTGTGTCTGTCAGTGTATGTCTGTCTGTCTTTTAGTATGTGTGTATGTCTGTGAGTAAGTATGTGTGTCTGCCAGTGAATGTCTGTCAGTGAATGTGTGTGTGTATACGGGGATTTCTCTGTTAGTGTGTGTGTGTCTATAAGTGTATGTCTGTGAGTGTCTGTTAGTATGTGCATGTGTCTGTTAGTTTTGTCTGAGTGATAGTGTGTTTCAAATCAAACTGATCAAATCAGTGAGTGTGTATTTATGTATATCTGAGAGGGTGTACATGTCACTGAGTGGTTGTATCAGTTTGAATTAAAGTACTGAGATCTTAAATATAGTGTTTTTAAATCAGTCAAACAAAACATGAACAATTGAAACATGAAAGGAATAACCTCAGAGTTCAGCTTAATCTTTGTAATATTTTCCAATGTGTGATGTATATTTGTAAAAGACAGCACATGAAAGATGCCATTTAGATAACTATGATGGGATGGGAACTAAACATCATAGATAGCATGACACACAGCTACGAAAAGGGTACATAAAATAAGTAAAGGTTTGTTTGTTGTTTTATATTTTTTACTCCAAATTTTGGGAAAAAATACACTATTTTTCTGTCCGAATTTTGCCAATACCTCCCTTTTACAACCTTAAATTGATGCCAAAATAAAGCCCCCACCATCTACCCACAAAACAGCTGTAAGTTACCGACAATTCTCAAATCTCACTCAAAATTAATTAATATAATTTGTCCCATGTATGTATATATTATCCAAGGTTCGACCGATTATCGATTTGGTCTGTTATTAGAACCAATATTCAAATTTTTTTCTTATAATCTGAATTGGTCTGAAGTGTCACTCCTGTCAATGGTGACCTCATGTCATTCCTCCCTGCTGTGAGCACTCGAGTGGGAGGTGCAGCTCAAGGCAGTGAGGTGAAAGAGTGAGTTACCAGTGTGGAATGAAGAATATGACTATCCCAAAATGTTTCAAGCCAGCCTTGGAGGGTCGAATGTGGCAATATGGGAGTGTGTTGTCCCAGCTTTAACACTCTATCCTCTCACTCCAACCGTGCACACCAGCTCATCTCCCCCTACGCGCACCAGGAATCTCCACGCGACACACCACCTCATCTTCCCCCAGACCTCTGCACACTTATCTCTCCCTTGCATGGCAGAGCATCTCCACCGCATGCAAGCCAGGCATCTCTCCCACTGCGCACACTGCAGGCATCTCTCCCCTTGTGCATACTGCAGGCATCTACCCACACATACCACCTTATCTCCCACAGACCCCTGCACACCAACTAATCTCTCTCTCGCACACCAGAGCATCTCTGTTTAAATGCATGTATCTCCCTATGATACAACTTCACAGTCCTATCAGTAGCAGCACTGTACATGTGGGGATCTCAGTGATAAATTAGTGATTTGAGTGGAATTGCCATCAGCATGTTTAGTTTAGTTAATGATTTTTGTTCAAATTGTGCTGCTTTTTCAAAACTTTACATGTACATAATATCAGCACCAATCATCAGCAATCATCCTGAAAGCCGACCAACAATCTGTATCAGCATTGTCTATGGAAAAATGATATAGCTTGTTTCCTAATAGTATCCTTAGGTAATCGGTTAGGCTTTATCTGTAAGCTACAGTTGATAAACCTCTAAGCACAATGGGCAAGGAAGGGGTCCATCATTGTTTGATTCCCGCTTTTAAACTTAGATCATTCAGATAGGACTGACAGCTACAGGTTCATGCTGAGAAAGTTCCAAAGTCCCTTCTTTATAGTCTCATTCCAATATAATTGGCGTATTTTTATAGGCATGCATTACTCTATATTTAGTATTCATGGAAAAGTTTGTTCAAATTCCCACTGACTTTTCATAAGCTTCCTGTGTTTAAAGGAAGTTTCAGCACCATAGTGATGTAAACCCGTGTCTGGCATATATACATTTGTATAGACAATGTGGATGTAGTCCGTGAATATTTTGTGTGTGTGTATATGTTAGATTTATTCTGTATTCTATACTTCCTCTATGTACAATGTAAACCTTTGTGTATATCTTAAGTCTGAAACTCTGTACAACATCTGGTTCTTTACTCTAAAGTAGCTTTTCATATTTTACCAGTGGGCCTTATTCACTAAAGTGTGAATTATCAGGAATTCAAAGTGTACCCTTTACATGTTAGGCCAAAATAGCCAAATAGAAGTCACATTTTTCCATTTCGGCTATTTTAGCATAAACTTTCAGTTTGAATTCCCAGCAGTTATTATTATTATATTATTTCTATAGCGCCATCAGATTCCATAGCGCTGTACAATGGGTGGACTAACAGACATGTTATTGTAACCAGACAAATGGACGCACAGGAACAGAGGGGTTGATGGCCCTGCTCAATGAGCTTACATGCTAGAGGGAGTGGGGTATAGTGACACAAAGGGTATAAGTAGGGGTAATGAAATAGGTTGCTAGAAAAGTATTCACTGGGAACTTAGTAAGTTATTTTTGACAGTTGCAGGAGAGGAGTCATGGGGGGGTGGGGGGGGGGAGGGGAATGAAAACCCGCTAACCGTTTAATTGATATGCTTTCCTGAAGAAGTGTGTTTTCAAAGAATTTTTGAACTAGTGGAGACTGGGTGAAAGTCTTACGGAGAAAGTTCATACTTTAGTGAATAATCCAGTAGGTGTTTTGGTGTCATTGTTTGATGCACCTCGTATGCATGAATCTGTATCTAAATTAAAAAAGCAAATATTTGCTAAATACACAATGGTGGTTAGTAGTTGTAAATTTAAATTCCAAATACGCACATGAAATTGTACCTTAAAAAGGCCAGCATGGATATAACATGGGTGATGAAATGTATAAAACACAAACAGACATGATCTAGTCTCGAGTGACTGTTCTTTTATTTGTAATGAGCAGAGTGGTCCTGAATGCAGCTCCCCTTAAAAAAAAAAAAAAAAGTATGCTCAATGTATTTTCCGAATCTACGTCATGGCATTGAATGGGAGGGTGTTAAAAATCTGGCACAACCACTGTTTTGTACTACAATTCCCATATTTTTTTTTCCTTTTTTATTTTATTGTGCATGAAATCATAACATATTGGTCTACAATGCCCCAACAGCATGTGTAGTATACAGAATTTCTTAACAGTTGTTCAGCATTATGATGATACAGCACTTTTTATATATAATACATTTTAAGCAACAAGGGCAATGTCGTGTGTATGTAATGAGAAGGCTGGGGATTTACAATGTATGCCAGAGCCACTGATAGTGTAATGTAGCCATGAAAGTGGTATAAAGTGTACGAAAAGAAAGGTATAACTGCTTGCTTGTGAGCCGCAAGCGCCGATAGGCCTTTCATAGTGTTCCAGAGGTGGCCATGACAGCAGTAGCCAGTGACCCAGTGTCGCTTAAAGGCCTGAGGAGGCCATTATACCCTGGTTGTCACCTATTCAACTATAGGTGTGTAAAGCAGGATAGTGCCACTGAGGTCTGGGGTACTGATTCAGGCAAATATATGGAGTGCCGTGTGTAGCAGATCTGGGGTAAGTCGGATTAATAACAGTGTCCAATATCTCCTGGACACCACTGGGGGGTCAGGGGTGGGGGAGGGGGGTCAGGGGAGTTGTGCGTGTGCTGGAACCATCATTTTCATTCACTTGGCCTGTCTGATGTTTAATGCATGTATAGCATATTTTACATTCAGACCGTTACTTTTTAGAAGAAGCAGAATGCAAGAGACAAAGATCACAGCCATTGCCCTATTAAAATTTGTTTTGCCACAGCAGATGGTGTAAGTGCTAGTAGATTCACCGTATCCAGATGCTGTGGATAAACAGTTGCACAGACTCCAGCCAGACTTAAAGCACCCATACAGGCTGGCTCCAACATAATATACAGCCCCCCCAGAACATTAAATAAAGCCAAAGGTCTATTTGTAGGATAATTTGTTTAACACAGCCTGTCTCCCAGACTCCATATTAGCTGTATAAATGTTGATTCCTGTTAAATCCAATAAGGGCACTTACAGACCTGGGAGCACTGTGCGTTTTGTTGGACGCTGTATTTATTTGTTATTCCAGTTAGGAATCTATATTAAGTGCAAAAGGGGTGCCTGTTAGTGGTTTAGTGGAGCAGACTGTGTGATTAAGTTGCTGCATGCAATGCATATACATCACACAGTCAAATAGTGTGAAGAACACTTGAGTCAATGACCTGGATGTGCACACTGCTCGATGATCATTTATTAAATTTAAAGTGCTGTAATACATCATATGTAAACATATCCACTAGTCTCTCTATATTTAATATTCTGACATTAGCCTTCCTTTCATGTGTCCCCTGCAGAAAATTAAGGAAACTAAATTTGAAGACTGGAAGAATATCCGTGGCCCTCGTCCTTGGGAAGACTCAAAATCCTTTCAGGATCAACAGAGGGAAACTGAACTCTCCAAAAATGCCTAGCATGGTCTACCAGTGAAGGAAAAGCAACATACACTGCGTACAGCAAGATATTTATTGCTAATTCACCATTTGGGAATGATGGATGGAAATATCACCTCCAATGGTGTTCAACTTCCATTCATCCAGGAACCATAATTTCACAGGCCCGTATTGACACCCCGGCTGATCTATGGAGCGAGTGAACATGCTTCACTGATTACTAATATTAGATTTTTCCTTTTGCCGGGAGAGCCTTGATGAACTGTTAACCATGATTTTGATTTTCTGATTGTTTTCTTAGATGGGTTTATGGTTTGTTTGTTTTTTTAATTATTTTTTTGTTTTGTTTTTCTGCACTTCTACATTTGATGTACTTTTTCACACGGCGATAAATGATTGTTGCAAAACAGAATATTAAATCTGTTGTGTAAACACAGCTGTATGGAAGAAATGCCTGTATGGAAGCCTAACAAGACAATTGTGGGAAAATAAACTATATATATATTTAATGTAAAAAAGAAAATTATAATAAACAATTTTACAATTTATTATAAAGACTGCAGTATTTGTATTTTTTTTTATGATGGGAAAATCATAGGTTATAAAAGTAAAAAAAAAACTAGTATTACATTTTACTTATGCATTGTAATGTGTATCTTCTATATAGTTATATTTTTATATATAGTGCTTTGTTATGGTTTTTGCAAGGTTGAATTTCCTTCGAAATAGCCTATTTTGTCTTTAGTTATAGAAATAACCCTATTTATGATTTTTCATGGGATTTCTTTATTTTTATAACTCAAAAGCACATAGTAATTTTATTAATATTTTACAGTAGTTATGGTTCCAACTGTATGCTGTTTATTTTCAGGTGCAATGCAGAAGACACCTAGTGAACTGTATTTTTATTTTGTTAATATCGAAGCAGCTAATCGGTGTACTTGACTCTTCAGGAATGCTGCAGGAGAGAAAGCTATGCAGTGAGTACTCTCTCTAGTTGCGCAAGCATTACAATAGAATATGCATTGTATATAAATTTGTAAATCTGGTTTTTTTATTTTTTTATTATTTGGTTCACATCATGAGCACAATCCACAAAGTAAGGTTCTGTATTTGGAGGCAAAAAACCCCAACCTGTTCTTGAATTTCCACTTACTGTTAATCTCCACAAGGAGACTTGATTATGCTATCTCTCTTTTTGTCTTGCTATGGTTGAAAATTTTATAAAAATCATAATTACAAAAAATACATTCTGGCAGAGCTTGAACATTGAGCTGAGCAGTCGCATGCCGTGTGAGCTCCTGCGCAAGCCAAAAATGTTCAGGATAATACCCCTGTTTCTATTCTGAATCCTGGTACCCATACTTGTAACCCTACCTGGGGACAAGTTGCTGATCATACTGACTCCACATTCAAGCCGCTAAGACGCAGGGAGCCCGCAGAGACAAATTGCAGCCTGCAAGTGACCGGGTGGAGGGAAAGGCGGCCGAATTCCCCGCTCTCCTGGTTGCTGAAAAGAACTGCCTCAGTCCAACCCCCCTCCCCCTCCCAGAAATGGTGGGCGTTTCTGTTGAGCTTTCCCTGGAGAAACTGGAATCCATGTTGCCCAATGGGCAAAATTGGAAGCACGTGCAGCAGCTTCAGCTTCCCAACAAGAGACTGCTGTTCAACAAGCTGAATCACGTGGAGTGAGCGGGCCCCCTCCAGACACCGAAGGCAAGCAAGCGCCTGTTATTCCACCTTTCTAGTTACCCAGGCCAAAAGCCAACTAGGGATCAACACCGCTACACCAGCGACTGCCTACTGTTCATCGGATGGGGACCCATCACTATAACCCATATGGGAAGGACCTGGTTACTTTGAGCCGTCAGGTAACCACACAATGGGCCCAGTTCTGGGTGGATACCCTCACTCTATGCCGCCCCAGCGGCCCCCCAAGTAAGATCTCTGCCTGCTCCTTAGGCCGTCCGACTATGGGAATTGGATGAAGCTCTGAATGATAGAATTGAGTGGTCTGTCCACAACAAGAGAGAGCCACGAGGCCGGAGAAACCGCCATTTTATATTATATTATATTATGTCTTATGTTGTTTACGCTAACCGGTTGTCTTCTAATCTTTTCATGTTTATTTTATTTTATTTCATCCCTTATCACAAGCTCTACATGTCTCAAAGACTCTGATTGCAGTCCCAGTGGGAACTTAATCCAGTTCATCTGTTGTTCAAGCATGATTAATACTCTCAAGTAACGCTAATTGATTAAGCAATGTTATACCTATCTTATAAAGCCTGTTTTGTTTATGCCGCAACATGATTATTCTTTAAAAAAAAAAAAAAAAGTGCTGTATTGCAATGTGCCACTATTGTCTCTTGTGAAAGGCTGGATATTGCTATTGTGGCATATCACGCCTGCTTGTAATCAAAGCGCACTACAAAAATAAAGAATTTAAAAAAAATAATACATTACATGCAGAATACAGTTTGCAGGTGGGGGTATGTAGAAAAACAAAAAAATATTTTTTTTCAAGTTTTCAAAATATGAATATATTTAGATAAGCTTATAATAAACATCTTAAAGGAACATAAATATATATTCCTAACGCTATAGTGCCCTAGCCATTGTTCAGGTGACCAGGTCCCTGCTGCAAAGGGTAAAAAAAAAAAGGTAGTTTACCATTTCTCCCTTGAAGTGCTGGTCTCTTTGGGGAATCTCTGCCCAATCTGGATGATCTCACCCAATCCAATTTTTTTCCCATCGGAAAGCTTTGGAAGGCTGGTGCGCATACGTAGCAAGGAGGAGCATTGGTCCAACCGCATATTCTCTTTTTGAGACCATCTGAATCACAATTTTAGTCAAATTTTTGTTGACTAAAATGTTTTGAGATTTAGTCGACTAAAACTAAAACAATTCAGATGACTAAAATACGACGAAAACTAAAATGGCTTTTTAGTCAAGAGATTATGACTAAAACTCAATTGAAATTTGATGCCAAAATTAATACTGCACAGAGGGGCTGTGGAAGGGGCAAAAGACACAGACCAGGGCTTGAGAGAGAGAAACACAGAAACATAGAATGTGACGGCAGGTAAGAACCATTCGGCTCACTGTTAAAAACAAAAACAAAAAAAAACAGGAGGCCCTAAATCAGAATAAAGGGAGGGGGACCTAATGGTAATGTCCTCCCCCCTGGCCCCCACCCCTGAGCGGTGGGTGGGGGCCCTAAATTAGAATAAGGGGGGACCTAATGTCCTCCCCCCTGGCCCCCACCCCTGAGCGGTGGGTGGGGGCCCTAAATACTAATAAGGGGGGGACCTAATGTCCTCCCCCCTGGACCCACCCCTGAGCGGCGGGTGGGTGCCCTAAATAAAAAATTAACCCCCCCTTCCCCAGGTGACTAGGGGTCCCCAAACCTCTAGTCACCCTCCTCCCCAAAAACACTAACCCCTACCTACCCCCCTAACCCTAAGAATAATGAGGGGGGACCATTAACTAAGTACCTGTAAAAAAAAAAACAAAAAAAACTTACCATTTGATGTTTTCTTTCTTCTAAAATCTTCTCTTGTCAGCCCCAAAAAAGCCCCCCCCCCCCCAAAAATCCATAATAACCGACGCACTTAAAAGGGCTCCGCGCAGACTGAGCTCTGCAGGGCGGGGGAAGGCTTATAAAGCCTTGCCCCGCCCTGCAATTAGGCTCAGAGCACTCTGGTGGGTTTAAGCCATCCAATCAGAGTGCTCTGACAGGTAAATGAAGAGACAGACCGGTAAGTCTCTACATTTACTTGTCACAGCACTCTGGTTGGCTTGAAATCCACCAATCAAAGTGCTCTGTGTCATTTTACACAGCGTGGGAAAGTTCATTAGAATTTTCCTACGCTGTGTAATTTGACTCATAGCTCTCTGGTGGATTGAAAGTAACCAATCAGAGAGTTATGAGTCAAATTACACAGCGTGGGAAAATGCCAAAGAACTTTCCCACGCTGTGTAAAATGACACAGAGCACTCTGATTGGTGGATTTAAAACCAACCAATCAGAGTGCTGTGACAGGTAAATGTAGAGACGCTCCTGTCAGTCTCTTCATTTACCTGTCAGAGCACTCTGATTGGATGGCTTAAACCCACCAATCAGAGTGCTCTGAGCCTAATTGCAGGGCGGGGTAAGGCTTTATTTTTTTTTATTTTTTAAGTGCATCGGTTATTATGGATTTATTTGGTCTTTTTTAGGGCTGAAAAAAGAAGATTTTAGAAGAAAGAAAACATTTTTTTTACAGGTACTTAGTTAATGGTCCCCCCCTCATTACTTTTAGGGTGAGGGGGGTAGGTAGGGGTTAGTTTTTTGGGGTGACTAGGTGTTTGGGGACCCCTAGTGACCTGGGGGAGGGGGGATAATTTTTTTATTTAGGGCCCCCACCCGCCGCTCAGGGGTGGGGGCAGGGGGGAGGACATTAGGTCCCCCCCTTATTAGTATTTAGGGCCCCACCCACCACTCAGGGGTGGGGGCCAGGGGGGAGGACATTAGGTTCCCCATATTCTAATTTAGGGCCCCCACCCACCGCTCAGGGGTGGGGTCAGGGGGGAGGACATTAGTCCCCCTCCCCATATTCTAATTTAGGGCCCCCACTTCAGGGGTGGGGGACAGGAGGGAGGACATTAGGTCCCCCCCCTTGTCTAATTTAGGGCCCCCACCCACCACTCAGGGGTGGGGGCTAAGGGGGAGGACATTAGGCCCCCCCCTTATTAGTATTTAGGACCCCACCCACCGCTCAGGGGTAGGGGCCGAGGGGGAGGACAATAGGTCCCCCCCCCATCATTTTACTTTAGGGCCCCCACCCGCCGCTCAGGGGTGGGGGCCGGGGGGAGGACATTAGGTCCCCCCCTTATTAGTATTTAGGGCCCCCACCCACCGCTCAGGGGTGGGGGCCGGGGTGAGGACAATATGTCCCCCCCATTATTTTACTTTAGGGCCCCCACCCGCCGCTCAGGTGGGGGCCGGGGGGGGCAATAGGTTCCCCCTTTGGTTTAAAAGCTCGGGAACAGGCTGCTCACGTTTAATAGACATGCCCCAACTCACGGTATATCGAGTAGGGGCAAAATTTACTAATACTATGTCATTTTTACTTAGTATTAGTACATTTGGCTGAAAGACCAATTTAGGGCTTTCAGCCTTTTGGTAGATAACTCCCTAATACCGTTGCCGAAGTCCCGAATTTCGGAATGCCGAACCGAACCGAAAATTTTCCCCATGCACATGCCTGGTAAAGATGTGGCATGTTTTGTTACTACTGACATTCACAGACTTTTTGAGAGTAGCATATTTATTTTTCTTTAACTTGCTGTTCTTTTTATTTTGATATAATTCTTTATTTTTCTTGTGCATAAAAATACAATCAAGCCTGTGCGGCCACAATAGCCGTAACAAGCATTATATATCGTCAGACTTTGTCATGTCATTTGACTTAACTGGACTTTTTATAAAATGAGAGAAGAATATAAATAAATGCAAAAACAAGCTAGTGTAAAGTTGGCTCGTAGGCCCAATGTTGTATACTAAAGAGTAT